GTAAAGGAATCCTGGCGAGGACCCTGGCATATAGGCATATATTCCTAGTAATTAAAGCCAAAGTTAGTTGAAAGTGTTGAGAGGGTGAAGTGCCAAACAAGCTCTTGCCACAGGGAAAGCTTTGCTCTGACAGCAGGATGAAGGGACGATTTCACACTTTACGTCAGGGGGGTCCAATCCTGGTCCTCGAGGGCCACAATCTAAATGATCAGGATCGTTATCAGGCTTCTGCAGAGCTTGATGAAGAGCTGATCATTTGAATCAGGTGTGTTGGAAACATCTAAAACATGCAGGATTGTGGCCCTCGAGGACCAGGACTGCCCACCCCTGCTTTACATCAACGTTTGTGGCCACACCAACATTTTTTTTAGGATTGGGAAACACCTCAATCACTTCTTCTCCCAAAGCACCCCAAGACACACCATGCAACAGATAAGCAACATCTGTAAAGAATAGAAGAGCATAGAGACAAACACAATACATGTAGAAAAACACCACATAAATGGAATTGTCTTTGGCTTTAGTTCTGTTTTAGTCCACCTGATACTCACTAGGACGGATAGTTGTTGCATGTGTAGGTCTGTCTGGCTGAATGTCGGTGTGAAGACATCCTTCCTGTTCTCTGAACCCTCAGGTATGAAGAGTGTAAAGAGAAACTAGTGCCATTTTTGAAGAAGGTGGGCTTCAACCCGAAGAAAGACATCCACTTCATGCCGTGCTCCGGGCTGACAGGAGCCAACCTGAAGGAGCCCACTGACATGTGCTCCTGGTATACGTAAGTGTTCCTCGCAGCAGCTCCTTATTATCACTATATAACGTGTATAGAAAGGAAAGTTCTTGTTTATTTATCCTCTCCAATGTCTGTCCCTGTTTTAATGTCATTACAGAGGTCTACCATTCATTCCACACTTGGACAGTTTGCCAAATTTCAACAGATCAAGCGATGGCCCTGTCAGATTGCCTATTGTAGACAAATACAAGGTAAGAGTCTGTTTGTTTACCCTCTGCTTCATTGTGCTTTATTGTCCAAGTCTGCTTGTAAAATACTGATTGTTGACAAGGATATCCTTTCCAAACACCATATTCATGTGGTTTCGTGTCATTTAAGGTCGAACACCGAAGCTTATCTTGGATTAATGCAAACTAAGTTCACCTGCTCTCTAACACACTGCCGATCCTTCTCATTATCAGGACATGGGAACTGTGATTCTGGGCAAACTGGAGTCGGGCTCCATCAGTAAAGCACAGCAGCTGGTCATGATGCCAAACAGGGTAAGATCGACGTCGGCTTCCATCAGCTGGAAAGATAGTGTTTTGAATGAATGCCTGTTCTAGCCTGGACAGTGTGTACGCACACTGGTAGGAGTTGAATTCTGCAGGACTGTTACTTATTTTAACTGTCTTCAGTGGCATTGTCTCTATTGTGCTCTGTGAATCACTGTCAGCTGGATACACCTTCATCTAGTGTCTCATACCTTGTTTCCTGTCTGGTCTCGCAGCATGTGGTGGAGGTGTTGAGTCTTCTCTCAGATGACGTGGAGACGGATGACGCTGGGCCCGGTGAGAACCTCAAGCTGCGACTGAAGGGCATCGAGGAGGAGGAGATCTTACCAGGCTTCATCCTGTGTAACGCTGAAAACCTCTGTCATTCAGGACGTACTTTTGACGCCCAGGTGAGCTCACACAGCAGCGTAAGGTTAAACTGAGACTTACATTGTGCATCACTCGAACATCTGAGTGACAGAACAATAAAGGAAAACGTTTTTAAGTGACGTTGGCGTGCGTGACAGCCATGCAAATGTAGAATTCTGCACTGAAACCCACCAGTGTGATAGGGTCAAGGTTCACTGGTTGATATTCCAACTAGACTGGAAGCCGTTCAAGGTCCCGTCCCGTTTAGAGGACCGTGGAGTCCAGCTGAGCCAAATACAAGGCCTCACTCAATGACGTGGGGAATTTTGCAGCCGTAGCCTCCATTAACGTGAGAAAATGTTGGTTGGATGTGCCGTCCGCTGATCAACGTCGCTTCGTTTCCACAGATTGTCATCATCGAACACAAGTCCATCATCTGTCCAGGTTACAACGCGGTCCTTCACATTCACACCTGCATCGAAGAAGTCCAAATCACAGTAAGAATTAATACTAACTTATCTGTTGTCCTTTTTAAGCAGGACACGTAGTCTCACATTCAAACCTGCCGTGGAAAATGACTTATTGAAAAACAGGCACAGTGTTTGGTTAAAAGAAAAAAAAATGTGTCCAAATGCACTATTTGTCATGCTTTTGGTTTAATAGATGTTCCTCTTGCTCAGCTGACAACCACGATAGAACAACAATCTAATCATACATGAGTGATGCTATGTGAGAGTGGTAATTAGTTCCATTGCATCCCTGCGTGCTGACACTCTGCCGTTCTTCCCCCCCGCAGGCCTTAATCTGTCTCGTAGACAAGAAATCAGGAGAGAAGAGTAAGACACGACCACGATTTGTCAAACAGGACCAGGTCTGCATCGCCCGTCTGCGCACAGCAGGAACCATTTGCCTCGAGACCTTTAAAGATTTTCCTCAGATGGGACGGTTTACTTTACGGGACGAAGGTAGGGCGCCCACATGTGTACCTGCTGGCGATGCAACATTTGTTATTCACGCTGAACTAGACGATACATCAAGTTACGTATAATCCAATAACAGACTAATAGCAGCTGGTCAAAGTGTCCAAACAGCCCAGTTTATCTCTGGTATCTTAAACTGTGAAACTGAAAGTTCAGGATGTAACAAAATATGAGATCAACTTTATTGATCCCTCATCGGGGAGGTTAACAAAATCTTTACCTGCTGCTGATAAACTGAGTCTGAAGAGAACAAAAGTATAAAGACTGACCTTCTGTTCAAACCTCATTCTGTGTCCAGGATCATTAAAAGTTAAATCCTCATTAATGGAGTCACCACTGATGCTCCAGGTCGGCAATAAACTAAGAAGAAATCATCCTAAACAGCTGGTACATATTTCTAGTGTTACAAAAACAGCTGAAACTTCTGCAGAGTAATCTCTACTCATATCTTTACCTTTGTGTTGCGCCTCCACACCTTCAATTTGCCCTCTTCTGATAATCTGTATAAATATCAATATATCTGCACCCTCAGTAATCTTGTAAATGATTCTAGTTTTATGGTTCTTATTGAAATTTAACTTTAATTCTTCACTCAATATTTCTTGCTTCTGTTTTGCATTATTACAGTTCTATTTTTATCTTGTACTTTGTACCTTACTCTACATTTATTGTTGCACCAACTCACCAGAACAAATCCATCGTATTGTGTAGACCATACCTGAATATAAATCTGATTCTGATCTTCATATTAGAATATAACTTCCTGACCCATTTTCAGTCACACATTTTCCATTTGAGCCAATCAAACACTGACCATGTTTTCCACCTCTGTAAGTACGTCAACACTTCAGACAATGAAACGATGGTTCATTCCATCAGCTACTAAGCACATATTTTTTTTGCCAACTTCAGATTAATCCCGTATCATACAGTACAGTATTCTGATTATACCAGACAATCTCTATGACACAGTTATGAACAGATAATCTCTACTTCCTACATTTTATGATGAGATACATGTAGCAGTTTCTTACGGCTAATATGCAAAAAAATGCAAGTATGATCAAATATAAAAAGATGTGGTTAGCCCAGACTGTTCTGCAACAAAACAAACAGAAAAAACAAGATCCAGCATTCATGACAGGCCCGTACAATGATTAAGTGTTCAAAATTAAAAGTAGTAAAATGACCCTGAAATCGTTGTCGTTGTGTTAAACTGAACCTGCAAACCTGTGTGCTTTGATAAGTTCGTAAAATCAGATCCAAAATCACAAAGTGCTTTAAAACAATAATAAAACAAGGAAAACAACAATTATAATAAAGGTAATAAATAGTTAAAACAGGGGAGCAACAGCTACAATACAGTGCATCAAAAACAATACATAAAATAGTACATTTTATTCATAAAGCGCTTTTCCAAATGCTCAAAGGCGCTGCACAGTGAATAAAAACAAGAAGAAATGAAAACGGCGAAAGCAAAAAGCATTCAGTGCATTTAAAAACAATCACAGATTAAAAGCCTTTTTGTGGAGGTGAGTGATGTGAAGGTGGACAGGTTCAGGCAGTTACGGATGTTTGCTGGTGAGGAATTCCAGAGGGTGGGGGCGGCAATAAATACAATACAATACAATAAAGCAACTACAGGTCAGCCAAAAGTCTGTCTGGATAAAATGCCTTATAAAAGCTTCACGAGTCGAGATAAAGGATTCAGAAAGATTTGGCGCTAAAGCCGCTCAAAGGCAGAGAAGTGACAGCTTTGTGTTTGTGTCTATCAGGTAAGACCATCGCCATCGGCAAGGTGCTGAAGCTGGTCGCCGAGCGGGACTGAAGCGGACGGAAACTCTCTGGGAGTCCTGGTGAGAAGGAACAGGCGGAGCTTCTTGGTCATAACCCGCCCACACTGTTATTAGCGGCGACGGCACGTCCCTGTCACGCCCCTCTTCTGTGTGCCGAAGATCAGCTTCAGAAAAAAACAAAAAAACTCATGTGAAAAAGAAAAAACCTGTTTTTAAGCAAATGACAAACCAAGATGATGTCCACACGAGTCAGCTTTCTCATATTGAGAGCTCAGCTATGCCTCCACCTGTCCCCACCTCCCTACTCTGGTCTACTCATCAGTACATGATTCTTTTTTTTTTTCTTCTTTTTTTTTTTTTTTTTTTTCCAAAGTAATTTTTTTTTCCCCTTGCTTACATAAATGACGATGACAAAAGGCAGAAGTTATATCTGTAAACAGATGTGGACCAGGATTTTGCTTGGAGTATAAAAAATGATTTTCAGAAGTAACTTGCAAAAAAAAAGAAACCGTTTGAAAGAACTTAACCAGTTGAAACCAAATGTTTATCTTGGGTGTACATGTTTCCCTTTGCTTTTACCCAGTTTTTGGTTTCTCATGTGGCGTTCTGGCAGCGTGCTCGAACGTGTTCAAATGTTATTAAATCAAACAACTATGACAATAAAATAATAAATTGGGGAAAACAAAGTGTGTCCGTTGTCTGAGCGCATTCGAGGCTTATACTTAACAGGTAATGAGTTTTTGGCTCAGCATAGGAAACTGATGGTATTCACGTATACATGCAGCTCTCACTTTAAAAGTTCTCTTGGCACAGATGTTTTCTGAAAGTACTGTTTAATAAATGCATGATTCATTTGTAGTACAGCATTTTGACAGCCTTGGACCAAGTGCAGGACTGAAGAAGTGTCTGTGAAGATTCTCAGTCATCCAGGTCGTGGTTATTCTCGTAGATTAATCGCAGCAGCTTGAGTTCTTTGAAGACGTTCCACCTCTCATCCAAGAGGCTTCATAACTTCTGACCGACTAGTTGGGAGTTCCAGATACTGATATCCTGAAGGAGTCATTAGCACCTGAGTTTCGGTTTCAGTTGGGGGTTTGTTGCTCCTCCTTCTCGTTAGGTGAGTCGTTAGTGTTCCCCTTGCCACAGTGGGGTTCATTAGGGCCTTCTGTGGCTCGGTCTGAATGTGGTTTCATCTTCCTGGGGAGAGTTCCTAGAATTGAGTTGTAAACAGGTGAGAGGTGATGCCTCAGACCTCCACCTCTGCTGATGGATGGTCTGTCTGCTTGTGTTGTCACAACTAGCTCACCTCCACCATTTCTATTACACATGTAACAGATCGCACATTGTCTTTGATTTGAAAAATACAATTTGAGAATGTCGCCAACAAAGACTTTAGCAGCGTAGCATTTTGAACTCTGATGGTGGTTTAGTTGGACAACGATCAGGCTCCACAGCAGCTACTTCAGAACTCCTCGTCCATTCTTGGTTCCAGTTTTGAGTCATTATCTAGTTGAGCCGTGGCTGTGAAAGAGCTTTAACTATGAGCAGGATGCATGGATTTGAGTCCCTTCATTACAGCCTCGTGACACAAGCGGTCCTCCTCCACGCTGTACGTTGGGGACGCTCCTCTTTCACAGCTCGGTCGTTCCGTTTTAAATCATCACATTTTCAGAACCGTTTCTGCTGCTGATGTCTGATTTATCTAAAAATGTTATCGCATCAAATTTATAAAGGAAATTGTAGATTGATGGATTCAGTACTTTTTTTAAAAATGCCTTTCGACCCACTTTCAGCATGTTGTTACACACTGAAATATGTTGAACTACAATATCTCAGCAATTATTAGATCCATCCATCCATCATCTATACACCACTTAATCCTCACCAGGGAGGCTGGAGTCTATCCCAGCTGACTCAGGGTGAAGGCAGGAGACACCCTGGACAGGTTGGAATTATTAGATGAAAACCAGAATTTTTCACTGTTAATTCTCATCATGCCGTTGATCCAGAATCTGCAATATTGAACAATATTGGTTGAAATATGGAAGAAAAAAAAACTGTTAAAGCCAGCAGGAAAATGAAAAAAAATGAGAATGCCAAAGTAAACTAGTGATCATTTCTGAACAAAGTGCAGTTACATGTCACAATAGTGGGCTGCAAGGTGGATCAGTGGCTAGCACTGTTGCTTCGCTGCTAGAAGGTCGCCGGTTCGTGTCCCGGTGAGGACACCTGGGATCTTTCTGTGTGGAGTCTCCATGTTCTCCCCGTGGTATGTATTGTTGTCATTGTAAAGTGTATGGACAGTATAACAACCTATGCGTCTTAATGTCAAGGTTTTGGTTTTAAAAGGTTTAAGTGTATGATTCATGTTTAGTTGTGGATTTAGCTGAAGTTCTCGTACAGACCCTTTGATTGTTAAAGTAAAGTTAACCATGAGTTCTTAGGTTATCATTTATCATCTGTTGGTTCATTTAATGTAAATGAATCTTTAGCAGCCAAGGTTTAATATGAGTTAGCTAAGGGTCGAAAAGCTCAAAGTTTGAGGTCAACCAGAGAAGATGTTTACACCCCTACAAGGCTTTTGTCTCTCCAAAGATGACCTCAGGTGTCCTACAAGGTGTGGACACTCTGCCACAAGGTTTAAACTTACAATCTGTTCATGACGAGCCAACAGGAAAAGAGTTTGTCCACTATAAGAGCTGCTACATCGGCGGATAGAAGAGTGAGGTCTCCCTGCTGCAACTTTCAGTTTCTATATTGTTGACAAAAAGTACATTTACAGACAATCCATTAGAGCGCTTGTTTCCCATTTGAGTGTAGAACCCAGGAGGGTAAAATATCCCCGACAGGATGAAACCTGCTCTGAACATCTTTGGACACAAACAATGAAGCTGCAGCCAAAAGAGAGAAACTTCTTTTTCCACCTTCATGTCAGGATGTCAAGTCTCTCTTCTTACTCAGCTGGGTTTGTAACTCAAAAACACTGATGCAAAGCTGTTGCAGTGTTTTTTATTTATTTCTCTGGAGGCCACATGTTGTTGTTGTTGTTTACAGTAAATCACATGCTGGGTCTCAGTGGTGCACTAAACTACATTAAATACACATGTTGGCACTCTAACCACCATCTAACCACGAGGCCTTCAGCTTTATGTCATATTATCATGTTTCTATGACAGGATTATAGTTCTGACCCGCTTCACTGCTGATATGAGCAGAGCTGTCAATCACTCTGAGGACCAATAGGAAGCCGCAGCAGCAGCCAGGTGAAGCTCTTGGCCCCGCCCCCCTCGGCTCCCCGCCCCTCCGGTGAGGACCCGAGCGGGACTCACCTGTTCGCTCACCGGGAAGTAGGCAGCTGTCGTCGAGACTGTCGGCGTCTCCTCGGGCCACATGGAGCGGGACTACCGGGGCCTGGGTCGCTGCGTGTGCTGCTTCTGGCTGGCGGTGGCCTTCGACGCGGTGGGGCTGGGGGTGCTGCTCATCGGGGTGTTCGTCAACATCTTCTTCTACGACCTGCTCATCTACGCGGGCGCCATCATCATCTTCCTCAGCCTGATCTGGTGGGTGTTCTGGTACTCGGGCAACATCGAGGTGGCCCCGGCCGAGCTGGAGGACGATGTGGGGCTGCTGAAGAAGAACAAGGGCGCTCTGGGCGGCATCACCGGCGCGGTGCGGCGCATCGGCAGCCGCGTGTCCGGCAGCATCCGGACTTCGCTGCGCAGGAACGGAGGGCCGTCGGGCAGCCGGAGGTCGGCGGCGGCGGCGGCGGCGAGGCCACCGGCGGGGTCACCGGCGGCCCCGCAGGCGGAGCAGGTGGTCGTTGCCATGGCGACGATGGCCCCGCAGGAGAACGCATCGCACGCGGCTGTCTCCTGTGACGTGGGGATGCCGCACACCGCGACAGAGACCTCACCTGCGTGACGAGGCCCACAGGTGAGGCCTGGTGCTGGAGCAAACACACAGATGGGTTTAGAGTAGACTTGGATGGATGTGGAGCTCACACATGTCACTCATCAATCAGTCAGACTTTATTTATATGGAACTGTTTACACAAAGAATAGAATAAAACTTTATTGTCCATCAAGGTGGAAAATTGTTTCACCAACACAGAAGATCAGCACCACATGCAGACACAGCAACAGGTTGCCTACAATAGACCAATACAATGGAATAAAACAGTAAAAGTAGTTCATGTGGGCTGTTCTAAGTGTGTCCTTCACCTCATCACTGCATATGTTTAGTTTAGTTTAGTTTAGTTTATCTCAAACTGTTTCTATGAAGAGTTCATTTGCACAAACAGATAACTCCATCTTCACAAACCTTCAGTAAACCCTCTTTTCCATCGTCAACCTGAGATAATATCAATCAAACTTAAGTTATCTTTATTTTTGTCATTTCTACTGAGTCAAATCCACTTTTTGATTTCTGAAAATCTGCAAAAATGGAGTTTTCTTTTTTACAAATGAACTCTTCATACATATATGTAACACAGAATAACCCATGCATATATAATACATAAACATTATTGAGAATTCAAGTGCAAAACTCAGTAAAAGAGGGAAAAAAAGCAGAAAACAATAACTACCATAAGGACATTACAGGCGTCCCTATCATGGCCTCCTCACTGCTGACTTCAGTTTCTACTAAAGAAATCACATTTTTATTATGTGTTTTGAGTTTTTATTAATACTGACAACTGTAAAGGGATTAAAAAACTATTTGTGAAAACCCATCAGAATCTCCCTTTACAGCACGGGGTTCACAATAGTCAGATAGAAACAAAAACTAAACACAAATCATTTCCATTTTCATTCATATGTTGTTGATGTAGTCATAAAATGACAGTGAAGTTTATTTTATTGCATTTATGTGTGTGTGATACTGAATTAGTGCAAAGCATGATAAAACATGAATAATTAATGCTGTGGCCATGAAATGAAATCCTTCATCTTCATTTTAAGGGCTTTCACTCTCTTCAGTGGTCCTCGTTAAGTTCACTATAAAAGAGAAGAACCATGTAAAAAGAATTCTGCTTTGTGAAGCCGTTTTCCTGACTGAGTGTCACCTTGTTTCTGTGGGTTTCATGTAGTTTAAATGCGGAACTAGTAAAACTTCCTGTAGCTCTGACAATAAAATCCTCTTATCACTGGATAATCATTAACAAGCGTTCACTGAAAGACAAGCCCTCAGTTTAACCTTCATTTAAAAATGCTACACAAAGGTCGTGAAAGAGCGTCAAGAAGCTTTGCTACCTTTTTGTTTTAATGCATCAAAGTTATGTTCCATTTTTAACGTATTTAAACCAACATCCGTCATTTACATAACGACTAAACATTCATTGACTTTCAGGATTTTAACCCATCATGTGCTCTGTTGTTTGTATTCATGGCAAGGTTTGAAAAATAGCTCACATTTGGGGTCTTAAAAACAAATTTCTTCGTCAAAAAACAAGCCTAAGAAATGTTGCATAACAAATCCACATCAGTCCTCGTCATAGTTACCAAATATTAATTAGTTTTCAGGATTATATCTGGGCTGCAAGGTGGCTCAGTGGTTAGCACCGTTGCAGCTAGAAGGTCACCGGTTCGTGTCCCAGTGAGGACACCCGGGATCCTTCTGTGTGGAGTCTCCATGTTCTCCCCGTGCAGCGTGGGTTCTCTCCGGGTTCTCCGGCTTCCTCCCACACAGTCCAAAAACATGCTGAGGTTAATTGGTGATTCTAAATTGTCCGTAGGTGTGAATGTGAGTGTGTTTGGTTGTCTGTCTCTAAGTGTAGCCCTGTGATAGACTGGTGACCTGTCCAGGGTGTCTCCTGCCTTCACCCTGAGTCAGCTGGGATAGACTCCAGCCCCCCATGACCCTAGTGAGGATTAAGCGGTGTATAGATAATGGATGGATGGACGGATGTTGGAAATCATGGAAAATGATCATTTGTCAGCCAAGACTCCACGATGAAAGCCTCACAAAGAATGCATGGCTTCACGATGTGATGAGTTGGGTTCAATGGGAACATTTTTGTCTTTAAGGTCCTGATGTGTAAACAGTGTGTTATGGATGCAGTGCAGAAGCTGAAGTCAAAATTCCCAGTAACATACACACCAATTTTTTTGCCATATGCATTAGCGAGGCCAAAATTAAAAGTGAAAAGGACAAAAAAATCTTGATCACCTCAATCATCCCTGAAAACCTTCATCATCCACAGACTGACTTTCTGACACATCAGCTCAAAAACATGCGTCTCCGCTCTCTGCACAAGCCTAAATGACGATCTCTCATGTCTGTTTTTCCCCCACAGAGACATTAGTTCCATGAAGCACACAACTGAGGAGGATCAGGCCTACAAAACTACCTTTTGTCGCCTCCAGTCGACGCTAAACTTCTTCACTGTTTGTGTTTTAATGAGAAATTATTATTGTGATTTTATCGTGTGTTGTACTGTTGCAGAAACGTGTGCCACCAGAAACTCAATCTGACTGATTTATATTTGTACTTGTATTGCACAGCTTGAATAATTGTAAATAAAGATTTTAATTTTGAATCACGTAATTTGAATTTGTATTTATTAAATTGAAGCATTCTTCCTATAAACTTGAAATTGAATTCTGTTATTTTAATCCTCGATAAAAATTCAACTCTCTACATTTGGTCTCATCATATGATTCAAATTCAAATTTTTATTTCACTTATTGCAGGTGAGCAATACAAATTCAAATAGAAATCATTTGGATTCAGTTTCTGGCACAGATCTTTTGCCCATATGTTGTTGCCCAACTGTTGTTGAACCTTGAAGACTAAGAATGTTTTGTTTTTCTTTATTTTTTTTCTAATACTGTCAGAGTTCTGGCAGCATGGATCCAATACGCAGCTGCAATTTTAAGCCATAATTGTCTCAGTTCATAATGTGACGCAAACACAAAATCCACCGCTGTAGTAAATGAACTATGAATGGTGTCAACATGGACCTAACCAAGGCAGGTTTTTTTAATTACAATGAAGTAGAAGAACATAACGGCTGATAATGACAATAGCTCCACCTGAACTAAAATGTTTGAACCCACCTGCCTCTAAATTCTGAACCAAAACTTGACTGAAAATGTGTGATTGCACTTTTTATCCTTATAAATGTGGTACTATGAGAAAGAAGAGCTACATTTCCTTACGTATTAAATCAACAGACTGTGAAAATGAACAATGTCTTGATTTCAAAGTTCTAGCCGCTGATATTTTTTACTCATTTTGACTGTTTTAATTAGTTTAGTGGTGTTTTGTGTGAGTGTCTTACCTCTGTACAGGATAACTATACTCTCAGGTGTCTTGATCTCAGTAACAAAGCATCACTGGATTAAACGCAACCAGATCACGTCATGACGCAGCGTTGGCATGTTGCAACCCGCTCGTGATGCATTCAAGTGAACGGATATTAAATCATCCATGAATTTAAGAAGTTGCTCCATCCACCTGTGCACACCTGAAACAGGGAAGAAACATTTGGCAGCTCTTTGGTGTTTTATTCTTGATCATTCTCCACCAGAAGTCCTCCAACTGTGTATGTTGTTGGACTTCCATCGGCGTGCAGGCAACAGATAAACAGCCGAAAAACGAACCCTTTGATGGTGTGACAGTGTGGGGTAAAGGTTTAATCACATTTTGTTGTTGTTGTTGTTTTTGGTTTATGGAAAGATCATGGTCGAGGACATAATATGTATGTTGTTAAGGTCAGAGGACGTCTGTTGTCATGGTTGCATGGTTAAAGCTCAGTGTTTTGTCAACCTATCCATCTACCCCAACATCCTCCCTTGTGCCTGAGCTTTTCCTTTGCAGGGTGGTTGGGGGAGGTTTATTGCCCCAATTAATACATTATTCCTGGCTCTACCCAGCTCAGGTGTCCATCTTAGAGTTTTTTGTAAAATTAAATTATTGATGTAAATATGCAGAATGAAGTAAATCACTGATGGGTGTTACTGTGAGGCTAACGATGACCGTACAGGTTTGTCAAGCATAAACTACACCACCATCCAAACAATGTGTGATTATTTTTGATGAATGAAATAAAAATCCATTGATTTAAAACTTGACTTCCTTTTGTCTGAGTATAGTGAGCCAAGAAAAAACAAATCAGCACGGTACAGCTGGACACACCTGTCAGGTAGTAAATGAAGCAGAAGCAGCTACTGCTGTGATAACAGCAGTAAATGTGTTGGAAGCAGACTACCAGCTCAGCTCACGGATTCTTAAGTCTGTTATCATTATTCCTGTGATTAGTTGCGTATTAAGTGGGATTTACTGATCCTTTTGGACACACTTTCTGCAGCAGCCATCCAGGGGGAAACAGAACGAATGTGAGCTGGGTACTGATACTGCTGTGGACTAACAGCAGGTGTAGCAACTGGTGTCCACGTTCCCACCCACGGTGATAACAAGCCTCCGTGTCTAACCTTTGGAACCAGCTGACTTTATGATACTGCTGGTTTTTCTGACTAATGCTGTATATTGCTCTCATTCTTTCTGCCTGCATTCGTTCTCTAACCCCAGCTCCAGATCCATAAAATCCCCTCCCTTCAGTCTGTAATGAGTGAACGAATGAACAGGATACTGTGGCTCACTGCAGGTATTGATTGGAAATAACTGTCAGAACATCATTTTGCAAACTACATGAAATGCTGTATGATGCTGAAGCTGCTCTTGTAAAGTCAAGCAGATGGCAGAAGGGTGGAAACCCCTAAAATAAAACAGAACATCAACATTGTTTTGAGGAAAACTTGTCCTTTTAAAAACTGTCTGCTCTGAAAACAGCCCTATCCATCAGTTTTCCTCTCAGTACCACCTATAATAGTCTAAGTCTGTAGTAGATCCATCCATCCGTTATCTATACACCGCTTAAACCCCACTAGGGTTGCGGGTTCCCAGCTGACTCAGGATGAAGGCAGGAACCCTGGACAGGTCACCAGTCTATCACAGGGCTACACTTAGAGACAGACAACCAAGCACACTCACATTCACACCTAAAGACAATTTAGAATCACCAATTAACCTCAACATGTTTTTGGACTGTGTGGGAGGAAGCCGGAGAACCCGGAGAGAACCCACGCTGCACGGAGAGAACGTCCAAACTCCACGTAGAAAGATTCCGGGTGTCCTCACCGGGACGTGAACTGACAACCTTCTAACCACTGCCAACTTCTGGTTTAAATTGTTTATTACCTTTTCTCCATTTCATTTCTTTAAAAATGTGCTGTTTGATTTGAATTTCAAATAAAACCAATATTACCATCAACATGTTTTTGTTATCTAGGAAACATTTCCTGTCCATTAAAAATGTAGACTTGAGAAGCTTTATAACCACTGAAATACAAAATCACTTATGATAGAGTCTCTACCTTTCATTTTATGGGGCGAGTGTGTTCAAAAATCTAGTCGTAAAACCTGGATTGTTTATATCTGCTGCCTTTTTGAAGTCAAATTGTATGAAATTGCTTCCAGAAAACTTCAGACAAAACACTGTTATTGCATCGTACAAGTACTGTAAGGCTGCAACCAGTTTTTGGAATTACTAACTGATTGTTCAGTGTATAAACAGTCCAAATCCAGAGAAAAAGGCATGATTTCCCTTATTTAATATCCATAAGTCAATGCAATAACACTTGCTACTTCTACTATATTTATGCTTGTGTTTATTAAATTAATTTCAAACTGATGACACAACTTAAAACAATGCAAATAGAAATTTGGAATACCTATGATTCTAACTATTTTGAAGGTGTCTCGTGTGGTAATGCTCAATCATGTTTTAAATCTATTACTACGGTCAGTGGGGGCAAACTGAAATGAAGCAAGTGTTTCAAATATATAAATCGAATCACAATATTTCTCAGAAAAATTGCAATTAGATATGTCCTCAAATGCTGAAGTCCATTTGTCTCTTGTCAGTTAAATAAAGTTGCATTTAAAGTTGTCTATTTTCAGGCAATATTTTTGTGATAGTCGTTTTTTTTGTTTGTTTATTTCCAAGAACTTTTGGCATTTGTTTACTGTCCTTTCTGCTCCCTGTGTTTTCTTTCTTTCTTTTTTTTTTTTTTTTTTTACAATAAAAACCTTTGTATAATGTTTGTGTGTGGCGCTCAGGGGAAGACTTTAAATGCGACGCAGCCATTCCGCGCATCTACTTCCGTAAACACAAGGTTCTCTTCCGGGTGTGAAACCGGAGCTCTCACATGTGCGAGCCTGTTGATAATCTCACCGGAGGTTTATTTTCTATAACATGTCCCACCTTTATAGATATAGAAAAAAATACTGTCATCACACTTTCGTATCGAGAGACGCTTCACGGTCTAATAATGTAAACAGCTCGTACTTTCCCGTTCAGCTGGAATCTCAAAGTTGAGGAACAACCAAGTTAGCTTAGCAGAAACAAGCTAGCCAGCGCGTACAGATTTCTTGGAGCGGTGAAACATGGAGGTAGACGACCGGGACTTTCTGAACACTACGCCGGTGAAGACCGTCAGGTTTGGAGGCAGCGTCGCGGAAACGTTACAGAAACATAAACAGGTGAGTGTTAATGTCCTGTCCGTCAGTTTGGTTTCCACGGAAAGGCTGAAAGACGAATAAAAGTTGTTTACTCTCGCTGACAAAACTTCACAACTTCTTTAGAATGGTACAACTGTGTGCGTATATATACAGGTGTTGTGCCAAAACGTGACTGAAGTCTGCAATCTTTATTTTTGTTTGGTTTTATACCTGCTCTCTCTTCTACAATAATCCAGTCCCCTTTACCCACTCACATCCATTTAAAGGGGTTTTAAAACTCATATAATGCAGATTTTAGCTCCTGCATTGTAACTGAAACGTCATCAATGCATTTAAATGACTTGATTTCTTGCTTAAAGGTGATATTTTACAGGTTTTATCTCGTAGAATAATCGCAGAAGAAATGTATATCCTTATTTTCTATATTAAACCTATCCATAAATCATGTTAATTACAGTCTATACAATGATTTTAACCATCAGAGACAATATTATATTATTCCCTGTAATCAAGGGTTGCAAAAATAATGATTAATCTTATTATTGATCGATCTGATTATTTCCTGAATTAATAGATTTGGTCTTTGCTTTATAAAAAGTTAAAAAAAAAATGTTGAAAAATGTCGATTACTGTTTCTCAAAGCCCAGAATATTATTATTGTTATTATTATTGTTTTGGTGTGGAACAGGTACACAACACATTTCACTGCGCGTTATATCATCTGTAACTGTGTTTGTGACCAATAAAAAGACTTTGAATCCTTGAATAACACCTTCTAAGTTGTCCAAAGATACTCTGTTTACTACCATAGGGGAGGAAAGCATCCGTAAATCAGCGTCACCAACTCACGCACATCTCTCAAAGTTAGCTTTTAGACAGAGTGTTGTGCTATAATTATATTCATTTAAGCAGCTGTAGAGTCACACAGCAGCAGGATCCATACAGTCACCACACAGAGAGGAGCTGTCATCTTAAGTGATATATATATATATGTTTTCAGCGACAGTAGGGCTGTTACTGTGAGCATGAACTGTTTGAAGCACTTGAGTGAATTAAAATAAGTCAACAGACCTCCTCATGAAAACAGTGTTTATAATAAACAACCTATGCGTTTGGTCAATGCAAAGATATGTCTGTTTTAATGTCCAACAGGAATGTCAGAGTTTCCTGAACTTTACATTTAATGCAAATGGTGGTTATGATCACAGTGATTAAAGATTCTCCCAATGTAGTGTGTTTTGTTTTAGATCTACATAACTCAGGTGTTGTGTTATTGTTCTTTAGTATTTCACAGTGCTTAGAGAGCGCATGATGGGGAACCTTTTTTAATTTAAATTCATCTCATGTAACATGCTGCATCATAAGTATCTCCAACAATTGCAGAAAGTAGCTTTAGAGTAGTATTAGCTGGCCTCTGCCAAGTGGAATTTTTGCTATTTAGTGAGTCAGCTTTAATTTGAGAAATCTCATTGAAATGCAACTAATTTGTGGAGGAACATGGATTTAGTTTGTTGTACAAATAAAAATAATAATTTTCAGACAAGTCAGCCACCACGTCTTCCCAGAAAATGAGCCTTTGTTCATCTGTCACAACAAACACAATGCCCTGATTTCTGCTGTCAACAGTCTGGTTTATGAGCCGTAAGCAATACATTTACAGTCGTTTAGCAGTTTTACCAAATGCTTTGTGAACTAATGAGCGATTTCTCCTTTTGTTTGAAGGGAGACTCAAGTGATTACGAACTCCTGAAACATCAGCTGGCTGATTCTGAGATAAAGGTACAGTACGGTGTCAGAGTGTTTGAGGTGAATGGCGTCTGTGTTACAGAGGTTCGCCTTGTCAAGAATCTTTGTTTCTTAGTGAGTTCTTTCTCCTCTGACAGGACGCTCAGATCATCAACTGGCTGCAAGAATTTCGGAGTTGTGTGACGCAGCTTACCAAGGACCATGAGCACCTTATTTATAGTATCTTGGTGAGTATAGGATGGCTCACACGCTTGATCTTTATATTCAGCTGTCACAGTAGATGAAGCTCCCTGTCAGACTTTCACTGATAGTGAGAGGTGGAACCATTAGCCAACTGACATCAATTTTGCTTTCAGGTATTTGCCTTACAGTGTCGTAAACTGTATAAAAAAAACAGACATCCCTGTATGATAACTTTTGAATAGACCATTTCTAAGCTGATTTCCAAGAAGATGTATCTCTCCATTAACTACACTTGATTTATCAGGTAGTGTCACAGGTCTGACAGAGACAGACAACTATTGGCCACTTTAAAAATGCTATTTCACCTTCTTTGCACATGGAGAACATGGAAATGCCGACCAGCTGGTTTAAACTCGCTGCTGATGACGTGCCATCAACAGTCCTGTACTAGTTTCCTGATGTCAGATCAATTATACAGACAAAAGAATGATATGCTGTATAATTTTTCATACTTATTTGTTATTTTGTTTAGAGATATGTTAAATTATATAAATTCTCAGGAGAGAAAGACCCAATAATGTTATTCAGTAAGTTAAGATAGTCAAAGAAAATTAGTTTTTAGCGCTTCAGCCCTGGATTATCTGCGTTTCCATGTGGGATGCACACTGGGGGGAATCCACCAACACAATAACAAATACTGGCCAAAGATCATACACAAACAAATAATCTGATTGTGCTCATATCCTGATGTTTATTTTCCAGAGGCTTCCATGGGTGGGACGCAGCCAGGCAGTAGTGGAGGAGTACATGGCCTTCCTCGGCAACCTGGTGTCGGCTCAGACCGTCTACCTGTGTCCCTGCCTCAAGATGGTGGTTTCCCACTTCACTCCCAGTACGTTCCCCTGATTGGTGGTAAAATAGACATGATTCATAAATAATACAGTCATGACTCGATAATCCGACCCTTAACAATCCAAAACCTTGCTATCCGACAGGTTTTTAGGAAAAACGAACGGAACCCATTAAAAACAGCCTTAACATACCGACAGCCTTGGATTCCGACTCCGACATGACATTTTATGTCACCAATCAGGATAACGGCGTATTATCTGACTGAACAATCCCACAGATTGGCTACGTTCACACTGCAAGCCTTAATGCTCAATTCAGATTTTTTTGTGAATTCAGATTTTGTTTTGTGAGTTCGTTCACATTTCCAATTAAATACGACTTGTATGTGATCTGCTGTGTGAACTTCATACGACCCAAAAGTGTCCCGCATGCGCAGAAGAGGACACGACGACGTCACACACAGTGAGCGTGCTCAGTGTTTACGGAAGTAAACATGGATGGTAACGGTGGAGCATATCTGCCACTCCCCCACCGCCACTGATGGTGGAAACAGAACTGTGACCGCGAACTAAACCGGCATCAGCAGTCAAGTACTGCCTGTGCCTTTCGGCCACTTCCCTCCCATCGGAGTGCTCCCCCAGGGTGGAAGTGTCCCCCTCCGACTGTGCCGAATATTCAGATATTCATCATTCATTGGGCCTGAACATCCAGAGACCAGAAAGTGCTATTCAGTAGTTATTATATATCTCGTCCTCGTCTTGACAATCTGACAGCCTTGCTCTCCGACCTAAAAGAAGGTTTTACATTTAGTGTCGGATTATCGAGTCACAACTGTAGTCTTGATTGTAGCTGTCACAGTGGTAAGGTCACGTTGTGTCATCACTCGTCTCTTGACTCATAGAGAACTGACTCGTATGTATGTTTTCAGAGAGAGTGATCATCAGGGAAGGAGGAGTCGATATCTCTGATTCAGACGATGAAGATGAAAGTAAGTGTTTTTTTTTATTTGTATTTCGAATTTAATTTTCCATTTTAAGTGGTTGCTTGACACATCAGGATGTATCTCAATATAAATAAATGAACTCTGTGCTGTTTCTCTGATTTAAGATCTCCCCAGACACTTCGATCGCTGTCACCAGGCGTTGCAGCTGATCTTCAGATATGTTCCCTTGTAAGTCATTAACTCTGTGATTCTGCTGGTTTTTCTCGTCTTGTCTGAATTTTTGTGTTTTTGCCCTCCAAATCCCAAACAAGTAAAACCAATTCCTGTATCTATTTCAATATATCTACTTGTAAAAGATATAAATCGATAGCTAGTGGACGGATGGAAACTATGACTGAAGGATATGTCCAGGTTGGTTCGTGGGTTTTTACTTTCCTTTCGGGCAAATGTTCTGTAAAACAACCAAAGTTTTCTCTCAGCACTCGGACAAAACTAGACAAGTGACACAGTAGAAAAGAAGCTCTTCCACAACCCAGAACCAACACTTGTACTGCTTGGCCATTTACCAGTGTTTCAATGTGTAAAAGAAGTTGTCAATGCGAACCGAGATCTACAAAAGTCGTCTCACAATTTGTCTGTAATCAGGTTTTCAAATGTGAAAAAAAAAATCTGCTCACCTATATTAAAATTCGGACATGTAATAAGAGTTGTCAACGCATACAGAGGTATTTGTAATTGAAAAGTCTACGCATTCGAGTCGAGCGGCTTCACCATTGGCTGTCGTTTCCACGCATGACTTTTGCTACACTTCTGCTGTGAGAGAATCTGAAACTGAAGAGTATGTGAAAATCAGGGTTTCTGTGCCCTGAGCTCAGACTCACAGGATGGTTCGTCGTGGCTGCTGCCGCTCTGCTGCCCTGTACCTCAGTTGTTACACCGTCTGCACGCCATCTTGAAAGAGTTTGCTCAGCGACCCATAAACTCAGCAGATGTAACTTGCTCACATATACCTGTCATGCTATACTTTTAGAAGGCTCAGCAATTGCCTCACTAATTATGCAAACTGCAAAAAACATCAACATGTACTCAGTGTGGTCGGGATTCCATCGTTGTCTACACCCTGCCTCACAATGTCACATACGCTCAAAGACTCTGATGCTGCAATTCTACAATTCTACAATTTCATTTAGCAGACCTTCATTTGACAGACTGAAAACAAACAAACAAAAATAAATAAAAAATTCCTATCACCTCCCACACAGCCTGCTATTGGCATCAACGCCCTATTGAACTTGTTCTATGGCACTTATCCAGATTGTTTTCCCCTGACTAGATCCTTGCTTGTGTTGCATCTGCTCTCACATGTACGTGTTTGTAGCAACCAGCTTTCATCTTTGTGTACAGACAACATAAGCTTCACCAGCTTTTAGCAAACATTAATTTCTGTATGTACTGGTCCTCTTCTTTTTTTCAGCACAAGCCGCTTTCTGGTGCCCATTTTGCAAGACAACTTCCCCTTCATACAGAAATCCTCCAGAACACTGGTAAGAGCCAACTGGCAGCAGCTCATGGATGTTTGTAGCTTTTTATGGACTCATTTTTCACTACAAAAAAGAATCCTGCACCTCTGTGAGGACATTTTGAAGTTGGGATCAACATGTTGAACAGTTTTAAGTGTTACCACGACTGAATACAAATAACTGTGGCTCTACATGCTATAAATGTTCTAACACTTAGATTCTACACTTGTCTTCTCTTTGTTCAGTCCAGACACAGCAGGAAATTTGGCACAGTTCAGCAGAAAAGTCTTTTTCCCCATGTTCTGGTTTCTTGGTGGTGCCACGGAGCTCAGATTATTGCACGAGCAGTTTATTTTTTACAGGTTTTTAAATGACGAATAGAATAAAGTGATTTTGAAGGCCGTCAGAAAGTTAAAAATCTGATGTCTCTTCCTGTTTTTCCAGTTTCTGGCTGATAAAAGGTGTAATTTTGGTGATATTTTTTGTCTTTAAATCTCCTGCTGGGTTTTGGGGTTCAGAGGTTTGACATGTGATCCGGATAATTACGTCCGATTCATGAGATTTTTTAACCTCCCGAGCTGAAGTTACTGCTACTACCTGGAGCTTGTTGGGCTAACCCGACTAAGTCTTCAGAATGTGGCCTCGCTGTACGAATTTACTTTACACCTGCTAAGATATGATCAGGGTGTGATCACCTCCGAATGTGGTCTGACTCATCTGTTTGCACTTTAACCCGACTGTGTTGACACATTACACTAACCTGCAGTTCCCCTTATCCAGATAAGCTGTGTGGGTAGAGATTACACGCTGACACGAGGTATGTTTATGATGCTGCAGGTCGTACAGGGATGTCAGATCTAATATAGGACAGCTGTGATTGTTGTGCTACATCACACATGAAGTCACTGCTGTCAAACAGCAACAAGCTGTGAATAAATAAATGTAATGTGGGGACTTCACTGAACTCTTTGTGACTTGATGTTGAAATGTTGGTCCTGAACAACATTATTTAGTCTGAGGAGTTTGGCTTTTTGGGCTGTAAGGTGGCTCGGTGGTTAGCCCCCTGCCTTCACCCTGAGTCAGCTGGGATAGACTCCAGCCCCCCACGACCCTAGTGAGGATTAAGTGGTGTATAGGTGATGGATGGATGGATGAAGTTCGGCTTTTTGTTTGTGACTGAAACCTAGCAGAGGATTGTTGAACATCACCACCCTTATCGAGCCCAAAGCTTCAGGCTACACGTTGCCTAGAATTTACTTGCTTAGAGCAGACCACGGTGGACAACTTGCTGCTGCGTTCAGAAGCAATTTTCCTTATTGCTGAGTGAGCATTTGGTGTCTTCACCTCTTTTAATACATCCCTAAATTGCTTGTAAGTGTTCAAAAATGCTGGTTCAAAGCCTCTGACCAAGTCATCGAGAAGTTTACAGATTTCAGATCAGAATTCTTGTGATTACATCGAGAGTCTCTTATTGTCATGAATATATTAAAGCGCAACTGGAGCCGTGTAATACTAGTAATAATCTGATCAGGACTTGTGCATCTATCGGGCTCAAGAAAAAAGGAGACTGTGCTTTTGACGTTGTCGAACTCGTTCCCATTGGACTTAAGATCTGTGGACACAAGAACGTTATCTATGTTTGGTTTTGTTTAATTTGGTTAGTTTGTTTTTATTGCCTCAGTTTTTTTATCTGGTTATCTGCATTTGCTTGTTAGGTTTGTAATTGTGAAGTACTTTGTGCTGTCTTCTCTTAAATGGCGCTGTTTAAATGAGATGCACATAATTTAACATATTGAAGTCATTTTTCTTAATTCCTGTCTGAACCAAAAGCATTAAACTCACTCCTGGTTTGCTAAAGCTTTCATGAGTGTCACTGTGTTTTAATGGCTCATACTTTGTTTCTACAGGAGTGTTACGTCCACAACCTGCTGAGAGTGACCATGTACATACCGTCCATCCGACGAGATGTACTGGAGGTGATCATTGGAAAGCTGCTCAAGCTAGATGTGAGTGGTCCAAATAATGCAACTTAAACCATAACACCATGGCTCTAAGGCGCTCTCCAAGAAGAGCAGTTTTATATTTACCTTTGAAACAAACATTTCTGCATTAGTTTCGACTCCATGCAGTCACGTTAAGAAATATTCATGCACTAACAACGATACTGTGTGTTGTGCGGAGCTCTTTGAGGACATTTTACACATTTCAGCACTAAAAGGTCCAAAAGCACCACAGTGAGCAATAGACACCTCTCGTATTGACTTTGTTCTACAAGTTCACATCTATTACAAACTGAAATACTCATAAAAATGAAACTTAACTGTGATGAAAGTCAGATTAATGAGACTTGATTAACAAGACAGTGATTAATCTAATCCGGGTTGTAACAAGACGTCAACAGGAGCTGAAGTTTACTTGGTTGCTTCCAGCTCTTTGTCTTTCTTTTGAGTTTTGTTAAATACCTGCAGCATCAGAAAGCAGCAGGATCCATGTGAGTGTCTCCAAAGAAGAGAGAGTTACTTGTTAATTAGTTTCAACTATAAATGATCCTGACATGGAGACAAGATCGATCAGAATCAAATTGTTGTTTTTTTTCACCTCAGACAGGTGAGCTGTGACTCACAGAGTCAGAGTTTATAAGCTACAGTTAAACCATTTATTACATGGTGAATTTAGATTTAGCCTTTTGTTTATTAGTGTGTTATTGTGCATTATGTGACTCCTTGTCTCTGAGGATGACAGATATTGTGCTTGTACCGTGTTGGGTAATTGTGACTGAAGCTTTGAGGAACATTAACATAAACCTGCCTCGTCTGAATGAAGGAATATCATCATTTAACACATTGATGATGCACGTCCAGCGTGTGAAACAGGCCTGTTGACACCAAAACCTAGTGTCCACAGAGCTTGTTGCTGTGCTTTAAGGTGTTTGTTGCAGAAACATGCCGACCAGAATTTGAATGCATTTAATTTTAAAGTTGCGTTGGTTCACATGTGACGCTGTGTGGCTACGACTGGATGATAGTGAGATGTGTGTCTCTGCCTGTGTGTAAATGTTTGTGTTTCAGGTGAGCGCATCCCGCACAGACATCGAGGAGGCCGAGGAGAAAGTAGTGCCGGACCAGAAGGCAGACGGTCAGACTGAGGAGGGACTCTTTGACATGGTAACAGCTGATGGATGTGGGAGATGTTGAGGGCCTTGGGAACAGTAGCTAATGATATTCAGGGTTGTCACAGATGAAATAGAGATGAAACATTGGCCCTAAGTTGAAGAAGATTTTGAAGTAGCTGAACTGCTGAGAAGAGTTTTCTACCCCAGAATCAACAGTGTTACTCACTCGTTGAAGGTTGAATGAATCAGAATAAAAAATAGCAAAACAGGTTTCTTCACTCCTTCTTCCCATTCTGACCGGCTCATTTGTGTGAATGTGTTTTTGTCAGGATGAGGACGTGTCTGCGCATCAGGACTCCAAGACGGCTCTGATGGTCCATCCAGTGGCTGAGAGGCTGGACACTCTCATGGCTGTGCTGATGGCGTACATCAAGGACATCTGCCACGTCAACGGTAAATGAATAAAGCAGCTCAGAACTTGTCTTTAACTCACATCTGTCAGAACAGGACCAATCAGTGAGTGAAACACATCTGAAAGAATGTCACAGCAGTAATATATATAGTTGTGGATAGAACATGTTACTCTGGACAGGTTGGGGTGATTTAAATATTACAAGCGTTGGTTGGTGATTTTATTCCAGTCCCAAGTGACTTTACAGTGCTGTGAGAAAGTATTTGCCCCCCTACAGACATCTTCTTTTTTTTGCACATTTGTCACACTTCAGTGTTTCAGATCATTAAACAAATAGACAAAGATAGCCCAGGAAATCCCAACCCTTATTGAAGGAACGGTGCTGTCCAGCCCCACTTTGCTCTATGTAGTAGTAATTACCCCCTTGGTTGCCGATCTACTAAATGACCACATTCATTTGGCAGTTGGGTTCAGTTCACCAGCCACACCCACATATGATTACTGCCCGGTTTGTTGGATCTAAACATCACTTAAATATCTATGTATGGAGAATATCCATCCATCGGTTCATGACCTGAAGCTCCAATGTGTTGTGCAGCATGACAATGACCCAAAGCACACAAGCAGGTCCACCTCTAATGGCTCCAAAAGAACAAAATTAAAAGTGGCCGAGTCAAAGTCCAAACTTGAATCCCATTGAGATGCCGTGTTAAGACCTTAAAAGGACAGTTCATGATTAAAAGCCATCTAATGTGGCCGAATTAAAACTATTCTACAGAGCAGAGTGGACCAGAATCCCTCCATGATGATGTAAAAGACTGATCACAAGCTGTCGCAAACCTTTAACTGCAGTTGTTGCTGCCAAGCATGGAGCAACCTGTTGTTAGGTTTAAGGGGGCGATTACTTTTTCACAGGAGTGATGTAGGTTTTTAATATATTATCATTTAAAAACTGCATTTTGTAGTTTGTGGGTAATCTCTGTCTAATATTGAATAAATGTAAACTACTTTAAAGTGTGAGAAACATGCAAAAGTAGAAGACATCAGCAGTTCAGCAGCACCGTAGATGTGTTTGCATGCTCGTCAAGGGAACGTTATTGGCCGTTATAAGTGTGGCATCCTCCTCGGTGTTCTTCACGACTTTGTTTTCTTTTTCAGGCTCTCTTAACATGGAAGTGACTAAAGAGCTGTACAAGGATTTGTTGAGTGTTTTCGACAAGCTGATTCTGCCGACACACGCTTCCTGTCACGTCCAGTACGCGCTCTTTTACCTCTGCAGCTTCAGACTGGTCAGTACCCTTCACTCTTGTTGTTCTGGTGGCTCGTCTCACACAGACAGACCGTTCTCTGGCTCTGTGTCGGTGCTGGAGGATGGTCTGACCACATCATGTTGTTGTAAAGGGGAAAAAAAAAGGCTCCGGCTTACTGAAGTGATGATCAAAGACAGAAGTCTCATTCAAATAGATAATTTGTAAATAAACAACTTAATTTAATTGGAAAACACACGCAATGGTAGACTTTAGCTCACGGGGACTGTATAATCTCATAAGTAAGTTGATTAGTTGATTAACTTTTAGCCTCTTTTAGGATGTGAGCTCGTTGAGGGAGCTTCTGAGTAAATGATAGAGTGACGTAACGATGCCGTAGCACAATGAGTCCTGGTGAAGAGAAGCCACTTCTCAATATAAACCTCTAGAACTGTTTTCTGAATTTGTCCCACAGAGAATATGAAGAGTTTTCTTTGCGTGTTTCATATCTGTGTCTCCAGTCTGCTGCTCAGAATGCTGTTTGTTTTCTGTGTAATGTTTTGACTCACTTGCTTAAAATAGTGACTGACAGTTAAACTTTAACTCTGAATCACTCTGGAGCAAAACATTTGGCACAGTCTGCGCTGGATATTACTTTTACCTACGATCAAGAGGAAATTGCTTCCATAAAAACCCTCTCTGCTACTTTCCCAGTATGTTTTAGAACATGTTTTTATTTTAGAAGATAAGATCTTTACTGTTTGATTTGTTTTTATGTGCTCCTCGTGAGAAGAGGAGCATCTGGCGTCCTGTCAGTTCTGTACAATATGTTCTGTTCTCTGTCTCAGGCCTTGGCGGAGGCCTTCCTGGATCACCTGTGGAAGATTCTGCAGAACCCCTCTCAGCCCGCCGTCCTCCGCCAGGCTGCCGCTGGATACCTGGGAAGCTTCCTGGCCCGAGCCAAGTTCATTCCTGTGCTGTGAGTTAATGTGTGCTTTCTGCTCAAGTAAACACCAAGGAAGCTCAGAAGGCAGTTGATGATTATTCATCTCATCCTGACGTCCCTCTTGGCTACAGAACTGTCCGGGCCTGTCTGGACTTGCTGCTCTCGCTGATCCACCGCTACATCGACAGCCAGGACAGCAGCGGCAAACAGGTCTGCTGTGACATCAGCCTGCACGGGCCGTTCTACACCGCCTGCCAGGCCGTCTTCTACACGCTCATCTTCAGACACAAAGCCATGCTGGAGCCCAACATGAAGAAAGGTAGAACACACACCTCTGAGCCGCTCCCTCTTTGAATGATCAAAGCAGATCAACTAATAACACCACGCAGGAAAATTCCTTTTTGTAGCTACAGCTGAATGAGTTGTCTGTTTGTGTCAGGTCTGGAGTATCTGCAGAGCCTGAACCTGGAGCGGGTGGTGATGTGTCAGCTGAACCCTCTCAAAGTCTGCCTGCCTTCCGTCACTCACATGTTCGCTGCCATCACCAGGTAAACACACTGAGTCCTGTGCTTTCATGGCCCTCAGTCAACCATGCTGACACTGGGTACAGATTCTACTGAGCAGCTGTAATTTTAATTTTATACACCGGTTTACAGAATGTAAATCATTTTTAAATCAACATCCAGCTGTGTGCAGTTAAAATGTTTTGTTTCTGAATATTCTGTTGTGTCCAGCTTGATCAGGTGTAAGGACTAAAGTGTGATGGTGTAAAACTGCTCCACTGCCAGTAAAAGTAGAGCTCAGTTCATGTTTAATCAGACTGGAAGCATGAAGCGCAACATAAAGCGAGGCTCTGTGTGTTTTCGTTGCAGGAAGTATCAAGTGGTGTTTTGTTACACGATCATAGAGAGGAACAACCGGCGTGCGCTGCCGGTGGTCCGCAGCTCTGCCGGAGGAAACTGTGTGACCACCAACACCAACCCATTGGACAGCTTCTTCCCCTTCGACCCCTACCTGCTCAAGAGGTGCGCTGATCGATGCTGAACAGGCAGAGAGTTAGATGTCTGGTTATACACTTCTGAGTCGTGACTTGATAATCCGACCCTTAACGATCCGAAAAACTTGCTATCCGACAGGTTTTTAGGAAAAACGAACGGAACCCAAGAAAAACAGCCTTAACATACCGACAGCCTTGGATTCTGACTCTGACATCACATTTTATGTCACCAATCAGGATAATGGCGTATTATCTGATTGAACAATCCGACAGCTTGGCTACGTTCAGACTGAAGGACTTAATGCTCAGTCCGATTTTTTTGCAAGTTTGTTCACATTTCCAATTAAATACGACTTGTATGTGATCTGCTGTAGGAACTTCATACGACCCAAAAGTGTCCCGCATGCACAGAAGAGGACACGACGACGTCACACGCAGCGAGTGTGCTCAGTGTTTGTGGATGTAAACACGGATGGTAACGGTGGAACACATCAGCCACTCCCCTGCCGCCAACGATGGTGGAAACAGAACTGTGATCGCTATCCTAAACTAGCATCAGCAGCCAAATACAGCCTGTGTGTTCCGACCACTTCCCTCCCGTCGGAGCGCTCCTCCACAGTGGAAGTGCCCCCTCGACTGCGCCGAATATTAAAATATTTATCATTAATTGGATCTGCATTGTTCAGACTATCATGAAAAGACCAGATACAGGTCACATAGGGAAAAAAATAATCGGATTTGGGTCACTTCAGCCTGCTGTCTGAACGTATTTACATTTGATGTCAACTGACGGGCCCGTGCACAGGTGTGCCGGTCAATTAGACGTGGAATCCAGCGATGCGTAGTGTTCTAACAATGCACTAGTTATAATAACAACTATTAAAAATATATATTAACAACAAATGACTCTTCCAGCATCAAGCCCTCCTTGTATCTCGTCCTCCATCTTGACAATCCGACAGCCTTGCTATGCGACATAAAAGAAGGTTTTACATTTAGTGTCGGATTATTGAGTCACGACTGTACATGGATTAAGGTATAATGGCACAAAGCACAATGGAAAACATACATAGTGAATAAATTATACTTATTAAGCATGTGTCTTCAGCATAAACAGGAAACATCAAAATGTCAGATGTCTGTGGAGCGATGAGGAAACTGTCACCTTCCTCAATAATACAGGAAGAAAAATAATTCTGTATTTCTGTCATGTCTTCTATATTGTTTTTCACAGTTTGTCTGGAGTCGTTTCAATTATGTCATTTTGTTGGGTCCTCTTGGTATGCAGAGGTTTATTGGCGTGCGGGATTAGTGAGGGTTTGGTGGGTTGAAAATGTGTATCAGTCGAATTTTAGTCCTAAGACTTTTCTCCCCGTGTCTGTGTATAAATCCAGGTCTGGTGAGCTGATTGAGCCGCTGTACCAGGTCTGGGAGGAACTAGCAGATGCAGAGCTGCTTCCCACTAAAACAGGCCATAAGGTGAGGTGACAGAAAGGTAAAAGGTGTTCCAGCAATTTGCTGATGAACTCATTTGGGGATTTGCAAGAGACAGAAAATGAAATGGCTCTAAGTAGGCGAGGTTTTCATGATAAAAATGTCAGAAAAGTGTCATCACAGTTTCTCAGAGCCCAACATCATGCAGTTAATCAAATAAAATATGCAGTAAGAAACACAAACACATCCTCACCTCAGAGAAGCTGGAATCAGACATGGGTTTTAGTTTTTTTCTCTTGATGTACCTATCAGTGCGCTACCTTTTCTTTGTGGTAACATGAGGAACTTGCAATGATATAAGGATTAAAGGTACCTGATGAACGCAGACAGATTGACTGGTACCAAAACGTATTCGGATGCTGAGTGTATCTGTGTAGACGCTCGATCACAGAAGTTGAGTTATTTGGAAGCGCTCAGAGAACCACTGTCACTGTAGTTATACACATAAAACACAGGAAACTAAACCTAGACGGTCCATTTATGGGGGTATCGTACAATATAAGCTATTAAACGACCTGTGCAGACATGTGGATTTAAAAAAAGATTTTCTCTCTTGGCAGTACTTAAAGAGCTTCACAATGTGTATCTTATTACTGGACAATTTGCTCTCCTAACATCAGGAGCACCTTTGGGTTTCAGTTCACTTAAGTGGACAACCAACTACCATCTAAGCATCAACCGGCCTCGTCATATGACATGGATGATGGAATACTTTCTATGTAAACATTATATTATTTGTGTTATTCTACAATGCAGCTGGTGTACCTCTATCACTTGAATCTTATTTTAGATGATTTCTTACATCCACTAAGTACTGAATCTGTCCACATGTACAGAATTTATGACTCCACACATATTAGAAGCTCAACGACATCACTGTGAGACAAACAATCCTACACTGGGATGTTCCCACCTTCTTACCAGTCTCTGTATGCAACGCAGGTTAAATTTGGACTCGTCTGGAAATATCTCACATATCCAACAGCAGCTGCCTTTCTGTCCACTTTGCTAATTTATTCCTAGCTGTCTTTAATACGCCTCCACGCTGGAGATAGTACTTTCAGCTTCACTGTGATGTCATATTGTTCTGCAAAGACGCTTTTCTGACCATAATTCAACGACATAACTCGTTGGAAGGAGAGATGGATGTAAACTGAAACCATTCTGGGTATTTGAGCTCCTGAATGGTTCTCTGTGAGCTGTTTGCAGTGGTCGTATCTGGTAATGCTCTAAATCTCTAAAATGATCTTTGATGTTTGTGAAGTTTTTGAGGAAGCAAACCATGCTTGATCTTCTCTCTGAGATCATTTGGCTTTGTCATTTTTGTAGTTGCTTTGAAGGTTGTTTCCAGCAGCTTTATGAAGTCAGTCCACACATTTTGTAAACAACCAACCTCATGGAAGTTTGCTGAATGTTTACCATCCAAACACTTCATGTGGCCTGTGTTCATGTCATGTAACAGTTACATCGAGGAAAATCTACAAACATAACATCTGTGACAACTGAAAGCGTTAACTGGTTGTTGATTCTGTGTCTGTCAGGGCTCAAGAGAGGATGAGGATGACTTCTTGTGTTGGGAGATGCCCCAGACTGAGGGCATCGTGGGAATGACTCCCAGCTCCTACGACTCAAACCTGTGCAGCCCGAGCAGCATAGGTTCACCCCCCAGCTCCCTCCACAGGCAGTTCTAGTCCCTCATCGGGAGCTGGCCTGTTGGTTTTCAAAGGACCCCGCTGTTCCTGAAGTCCTCAGGCACGTTGAGGGTTGGACCTTTTTTTTTTTTTGTTACGAGCAGAAAAAGCCACGGGTTTTGTAGCCACACATTTGTACAGAGACTCTTCCCTCATGAGCCACATTGTGCTTACAAGTGAAGAGCACGTCAACCATGGACGCTATTCATACAGGAACACTCAGGAAGGACAGCAATAGTATCACAAGAAGCCCAAAAATCACGATAAGCAGGTTTATGTAAATGTTCTGAACAGATTTGATAAGTTTTAAATAAACAATTTGACAAAGACTAATGTGACAGACATTAGCTTTCATCTGTTTTATTTTGTTTCTGTACGGAAGAAAATGGTCCTCATATTAAACTGACCTTGAGAAGTTATATTGGTTGGACAGTAAAATGTTTTTACACAGCTTCATATTGTTAATCGACGTCTGTTTGCTAAAGCTACGCAGTTACTACACAACTTTTCCATAAACATGTCGGAGATTGGGGGACAAAAAGGTCTCCAGAGTCCACGAATCCGTGCTCGGCCCATCGCTACTCCTCTAGTCCAGCAGTTCTAATTCCCTGCATGGTGAGCTTTGACTAATGTCTCTCATAGCGAAACACAGAATGCTTTGTAGGTGAATCACCTTGGAGATGACCATGACGTAGAACAAGAGTGACCAGTGAGCAGAAAGGAGACAAACACCAAACACGTGGTTCATTTTTATGTCTCTATTCCAGTGATGTCAGCAGCTGGAGGCTTTGTATCTGTGGGTCGTCTGTCCGTCCATCTGTCCGTAGCTCAGAAACAGCCGCAGAGAATTTCTTCAAGTTTGGACTCAACGATGAACTGATTTGATTTTCAAGGTCACAAAACATGTTATTGGCCCTCGCTGCAGAAGTTGTACGTACAACCAGATGGATGGAAACTGCAACTTGTCTGGTTGGGGGAGGCACATATCAACAAGGTGGTGATTCTAGTTTAAACAATATCATATACCAAAGTGTGTCATAGTGTGTGTGTTTATAAGACAGATTCATCCATAGACATAGTCGAATCAAGCAGCTATAACTAACTCTAAAACAGAGAAAGAGCAAGTTTTCCTCCACTTACAACCCCAGACTGGACACCGGGTCCTCTGTGGTCAACAGAGCAAAGACGTTAGGAGCCAAACCAGATGTAGAACCTTACAGGTAAATCTTCCAGGTCTGTCAGGATGGTTTATGCTCTCAGGAGGAGGCCACAAGAAGGCAGACCTCCAGAGGATCCCACAACACACCTCCAGACATCCAACATACATGTTGGGTCTTGTTCAGCCAAGTCTGCCCGGCTCACAGTCACAGTCAGGCCTACAAAGAAATGCTCGGACCGACTTCTGACCCGGCAGGAAGTGGAGGTATCATCTTGATAACAACATCGAAAAGATTTCACTCCCACCGACAACGCCACAAGTAACACCAGACTCACATTAAGAACCGTCCGATCATCACGCCGTGCATGTAAGCAGCTTTCAGCCACTTAGTGCAGCTCCCTAAATTCTCTTTTATTCCAAAAAGTAAACTCTCACAAGTTTGCTTTCAGGTGTGGTCTAGTAGTCATTGCTTCATCTCAGAACACCATGTTGCATCGTAATATTGGCCCCAATGTTGTGTTCTCTTCCTTCCCGTCGCTTGGTCTTGTCCTCGTGTGCGTTATTTTTGTGTCATAGTTAGCAGTTGATTGTCTTGTTGTAACAAATGTACATTCGTATAAGTTCAACTCCTCGACTGTTACGTTGTTCACACTTCAGTCCCTAACTTGAGTTTTGTGAGTTTTTTAGCAGAAGTAGTTCAACTTCAGACTTTTTGAGGGTTCTCTCCGGGTTCTCCGGCTTCCTCCCACACAGTTCAAAAACATGTTGAGGTTAATTGGTGATTGTAAATTGTCCGTAGGTGTGAATGTGCTTGGTTGTCTGTCTCTAAGTGTAGCCCTGTGATAGACTGGTGACCTGTCCAGGGTGTCCCCTGCCTTCACCCTGAGTCAGCTGGGAGAGACTCCAGCCCCCCATGACCCTAGTGAGGATTACGCGGTGTATAGATGATGGATGTCCTGGATGTAAACAGCAAAACTTGACTTTCCAGTCTTGCGATCTTGTACCTCATCTGTATAAATCTGTGGATTATGTTTTCAGTTGTTCTTTAACCTGGTAACGTGGCGTGTGGATGCTGCTACTTCTTCTGTTGAATTCAACAGAAAGTAAATGTTGCACATGTTGGTAGTACTTGGCCCTGCCTGCATTTGTGGATTACGTGGCACAAACAAAGAGCACTACACATCTCCACATCTAAGAATCGGCTTTTCTAGTTGTACTCATTTTATATTTTAGTCGACTGCTTGTCTTAATTAAGCAGTTGTGGCTCAGGTAGTAGCACATGTTGGTCCTGATGGCCGGTTGGCAGCAAACCACTAAAAAACAAAAGAGACACGACAGCAGGTCCAGTCATCAGGTATTCATTTAATATAAAACAGTAACAGAAAGATATGAGGCCACACCAAAGATGAAATCTGGCTGAATTACAGGACACGTCAGAATGTTTTTCAACGCATTTGCAGCTGTCTGTATAAATAAAATCAGTGTTACCCTATGACTGATGTCTGCCTAGACTCTGTGACTATCAAACACTAGTTTACACAGCTGGAGCTACAACAGTGGAGTGGCTCCTGCAGACACGTGAACCATGCAGTGATATGAAGCCGCACTGCTCGAGCTCCGGGATCTTTAAAAACCTTTCTTTCGCCTGTTATAATGAAGTAAGGGCACGAGGAGAGTGAGAATGACGGAAAAGAAACACTGCTGTTTGTTTTTTTTTTTCTACTTTTCGCTCAACAGTTTGTGACGTTTGCGGCAGAGCGGACGAGCGGTTGGTGTGTGATGGAGGCAGATGGCAGCGAATGATTATGACACAGAGGAAGAGTCTTCGAACAGATCAGCTTGAGATTGTCCTTGCTAAGCGAACAAGTCCGAACTTACATGCAGTCCACGGACAGGACTTGTGTGTGTGTGTGTGTGTGTGGCGGGTTAGAAACGAGGTCGGTGAGGAGTATTAACAAGGTTTACAGGTTTACGAGTGCGTGTTGTGGACTTGATCATGCAGCTCCTCCAACACCACCCACCGTAAGAGTAACACAAAAAAGAATTCCAGCAGACATGTTGTTTTTTTTTTGTTGTTTTTTTGGCAGAGCACTTCTCATAGAGACTTCTGTACATGTGATTTGTCGTTGAAACGGCGAGAGTCCTCGAGTCTCGGCTGATTGAACCCTGCAGAGAGACTGAAGGACATCTCGGAGGAAGACACTAATTCGATGCGTGAGCAAGTGTTGGCATTAAAACATGTCATCAATTAAAAGGTGTCACTGTGGACTGAGGATTTGGATTTGTTGAAGCCATGTCGTTGTTTTCTGAAGTCGGAATGGTGCCATGTCTCGCTGCTCTCTTGTGTTGTAGTCCGTCGTAGGTCCAGCTGCTCTTTCAGCCTCTTCAGCCCGACCCAGGTCCTTCCCTTTCGTCCTTTCTTCTCTTTGTTGCTCACACGTGATGAGGGCTGACATCTGGTACCGACGCTGCCTCTGACGCACTTGCTGCAGCTGAAGGTCAAGCACAGTGGGACAGAAAAAAAAAAGCATCAGACACCAGCATTCTTAGTCATGTTTAGGTCTTATTTCCTAGAAACGAGTCCTCACATATTCTCAAAATTAGGTGTAATGTACTGGGATAGTAACCCGACAAACCTCAATATCTGGACTTTTTTGTTTTTGCTCTTGTTGCATAATTTTTCACTGCAGCCGATGGAAACAGCACAACCATAGTAGAACTAGAAAGAACGTAGAAATGTCTTCTGTGTTTGCTCTCCATCTGCTATCCTCCTGTCCCTACCCTCCTCATCCCCATGTCCAATATTGTTTTGGTGTCCAAGAGTGTTACCAATATTGGAATTGATTTATTACAAACACACAGCCTGCAGTTCAGCCGAGGACTGCCTGAATTTTTTGCCATGCGGTTGTTGGTTGCAGCTGTCTCGGGGTTAAGAACCACGGTTCACTCGAGCACTCGACTCCTTACCTTTGTCATCAGCGGCGCCGGGTCCCACTCCCTCCATCAGCTCTTTGGCTTCCACGGCCAGCTGGAAGGCGGAGTCAGGAAGTGGTGTCGGGGTGTCGGGGCTGTCCGTGGCTGGAGATGACCTGTTGCTCCTGATATACAGGAAACACACACACACACTGGAAGATTACAACAGGACTCCTACTGCAGAGCTGTAGAATATTCATGTGAGGCGAGATTAAAAAGTTCAGAAACTGTCCCTGATGCACAGAGCTCATCATGGTCACGTGTGGGCAGTCAGCAGGATCTGGGTTGGACGGGTTTTTGTGACCCCTAGCAGGTTTTTGTGAACTAGAGGTGAGTCAGTGGCTCCAAATCAGAGACCAAATAGGAATTTAAGAATGGAAGAGCTGCATTCTCCAAGACCAGAGAAGAAGTGTCGGGTCAGGAGCACAAGGAGCATCGTTGTTTCTTCGACATTCACGTGGTTGGGAATTGATCTCCCAGAGTTCTACTGTAACGTCCACTAAACTGAAATCAGGCTCAGTTGTTGATTTTCATCGGCTCAGTCTCAGAACTTTTTGATCACCCCCGTAATGCTATGTTCAGGGTCTCTTACCCGCTTTCTCCTCCAAACAGGGTGGGTGTTGTCAGCACTTTGTGGACGTTCTGTGGAGACATAATATAACAGTTATGCAGTGTTATGTGATGAAACTGAACCGATACAGGCATGTGGTCTTCCTGTGACACTGGAATAAAGCCAGAGAGAGAGAGAGAGAGAGGGGAAGGAAAGATGCAGCTTGTATAAAGTGTGATATTGAATTTTTCTCAGCCTTTTGCCTCATGAAGAGGTCGACCCCACCTCTTTAAACAGCTGGTCTGAAAACCTGTGCTGTCTTCACTTCAATGTCCCTTCTTGGTTACCTGGAGCTGAGTTGGGTCCTTTACTAATTACAACCCGTCTATCGGTGAATCTACTACTTCATAAACCAGATCATTTGTGAGTCTTTTCGGACAGTGTGACTGCTCTTGGGCCCTTTTGCATTATATTGTGAATACACATGAATGAAATATACGTATGTTTTTGATAAATCTGCCTTGGATGTGGTTCAGCTCTGGACATTTCCACGATGGTGCACATTTCCCACCTGAGTTTTAAACATACAATCCTCCTGGGAGGCATGTTTAGTTCAGTATGTCTACCAAAATGTGTGTGGATTTGAAAACACTCTTTGATGCTGGCTTGTGCACTATTGGCTGCTGAAGCGCATCTACTGCCTCGTTATTTCTGTCGACTGAAGCAGAGCGATCCCTCGTTCTCAATCACACATCACCTGTAAAGAGGCTTCTGCTCTGTGGCTTCGACTTCAGCAATCAGTGCAGCAAACACTCAGTTATGAGCAGAGCCAAATGTCTGAATCACTTTTAATTTATTCTAATCATCATATTTGGTTTTTATAGGAAGCAGTTCACAGAGTCTGTGGTTTATCGTTGTTCATGTAGCTGCACTGTGTCCTTCAGCCACTGGGGGGCAGACCGACTCCATGACGATGGTGAAACGGTTGGAGCTGTCAGGTCCGTTGAATCGAATGTAGCAGGATGCATGCAACGTCTTGGTGTGCTTGGGATATGAGTTGTGACAAAACATATGCTGACTGTCATGAAGTCAATTCCTATTTATTGACCGTCTTACATCCACAGCTGCCGAGCTGATCTCTGACCTGCTTCTGTTTATAACTCAAAATACTGAAGCTGCTGCGTGATAACGTGTGTTGTAAACTGAATTGCTACAGAAATCATTTTAGAGTCCCGAAATACTGTTGTATGAACTGTGTGGAGTTTGCTTGTCCAAAAACATGCTGAGGTTAATTGGTGATTCTAAATTGTCCGTAGGTGTGAATGTGAGTGTGCTTGGTTGTCTGTCTCTAAGTGTAGCCCTGTGATAGACTGGTGACCTGTCCAGGGTGTCCCCTGCCTTCACCCTGAGTCAGCTGGGATAGACTCCAGCCCCCCTAGTGAGGATTAAGTGGTGTATAGATGATGGATGGATGGATGGATGGATGGATGTCCTAAGTTCCCAAACATTTACTGTGTTATCGAAAGAAGAGGTGATGTAACAAAGTTGTAAACATGCTCGTATCCCAGCTTCTTTGGAACGTGTTGCGGGCATCAAATTCAGAATATTTAAAAAAAACAATCAGTTATCAATTTAAGGATTATATATATCTTATCTTTGAAGTGTCTTCAATTGAATATAGACCAAAAAGGAATTGCAAATCATTCTATTCTGTTCTTATTTACATTTTACATTTTACATAGGCTCCCACCTTTTTTGGAACTGGGGTCTGTATATAAAAGTACATATTCACATTTTTCCTTTTTAATAAATTTGCAAAATGCTCTAAAATTCCGTTTCTCTGTGCCATCATCAGTTTAACAAACCGTGCTGTGAGTGTGTCCACGTCGAGTCGTACCTGTGCAAAGCCCAGCAGTTTCTTGTTGGACACCTCCAGGTGTTTCCTGCTCTGCTCGGACCTCCTCAGCTGACAGTCGATGGCCGACAGCCTCCTGTTCAGCTCCACCACCTCCTCCTGACAAACACACGAATGAAACGATGTACCAGCAGCTGACAATGTACGAATGTAGAAAATGCTGCAAACTTGGTCTACTGATTTCAAAATGCTGTGATATTTAACAAACTGTGTCTGTGAGGAGGTTGATCCAGAGGGGACGTTTTTTGAGATAACAAACGGAGGCATCACTTATTAAAATTAAAGTGAATTGATAATTTAAAAAAAAAAAAAAAAAGTTTATCGCATTGTCAGCCAAGTTTCATATGAAATGTAGCACAAATTTTTACTGAATTGCAAGAAAATCCACATTCAGATATTCCAGTGACTGTCCTTTAATCAGCTTCTGTTACATCAATATAAAAAGTCTTTAACGTCCAAAAAAAGTCCAACCTGGGAGCATTTTGCTACAGATATGGCCCCTATAGATGAAAGACAAGGGAGGAAACTACTGTTTTTCTGTGTAGACGCTCTTAATAGAAAGCAAAGAACTGATGCTGCTGTGATGTTGGTGTCTCAGAATGCTTTTCACCATTTTAATTATTGGACTTTTGTGCTTTAACGTGATGTATAGGTTGTCAGATTTGATTCAGGATGTGCTGATGCCCTGGGCCCGTGTTCGGCCTGGTGAGTATTAAGGCGTAAACTCATCTAACCATGTGACCGTGTGTTGCAGCAGCTGTCACTGTTTCTTTCAAACATGCTTTGTCCTCATTTCTTTTGTTCTCTTATCTTTGTCGCTGGATACCGCTTCATCTCTCAGCTGTGAGGCGGCGTTCCAGCGCGCAGCCAGAGGATTTACCACCTGAGATGGAAAGCCACAGGTAGTGAGGCAGTAAGCCCGAGAGCCAGAGGAAAGAAATGAATATAAAGCCTTCTTTTCATCTAAGCGGGGCGCCGGTGAAAACACAGGCAGAGCTCAGTGGCCACAGAGAAATGAGAAATTCGGCTTGATGTGTTTCACAAAGAGGAGGATGCAAAATCAGGCAGCGGACTGACAGTGCTGCAGGGCCTCCGGCTTGTCACGAAGGATGGCGGGAAGACAGAGGAGAGGGAAAGCTTAGCTTTAAACTCCTCACGATATAACAGTCAGTTGTTGGCTCTGAGCTTGAGTCCATACAAGCTGTTGAGCTTCTTACACACAGTTGCTTTTGCTGTTTATCTCCAGTGTGCAGGTGATTACAGCTCGGTGTGATAGCATCCAACAGGAAGAGCAACTTTTTTACGGGCCTGTGTTGTGAACTGAGTGACTGCAAAAGTTATAAGACACAACATGGAGACATCAGGATGCCCTGAAACTCCCTCTTTCAGAACATTTCACCACCTTGTCAGCAGCATTGCATCCTGTTATTCTGTCACCCTGTCGCATCCTAAAACCAGGTGAGGTTCATCAGCAGCATTTGAGAAAGTAAAGCAAGTGAGAAAACTAACTGATGAACACGTCAGTTTGTGCTTTTTTCTAATGAGGTACATGCAGTCTGTACAGGGCCAATGCTTACTTAAAGGTCGCCAAACTTTTGTTCCTTATAGCCACAGATGAGCCCCTCTTCTGCAAACAAGTCCTTTGAACAGCATCATTCCTTTGACCTAGATCCACAGCCCACCTCCTTTATTTGCATATTGAGATCTGATCAAAATGCAAGCAGAATCGTAGCTGCAAGCGACGGCGAGGCGGGCCAACAGTTCAGCAGGCCACGGTCGCCATGGCAACTCGATGTGATCACGTCAAAGAGCTAGCTGAAAGCAAGCTTCGTGCCAATTTGACCAGAGAGAAGAAAAGTAATTACGTTCATGTCAACTAACATGACAAGTTTGAACAAATGGTTATGGAAATCAAAAATCTGTCCTTTCAGTCCCGCTCACAGCCTCACTCTCTGCCAGATGGTTGACTTCAACCTTGACACATGCTCAGACTGGTTCTTGTCTCGTTCTCCTGGATCATTCTCTACCTGTTCCTGTTCCTCCAGCCGCCGGACTCTAAATTAGCCATCTGGTTTTCCTGCTTGCCCCCTTCAAAGTGGGTTCTGTCAGTTAAGTTTGTCTTGGACTTTGGTTTGCTTTAATTCTGTCTCTTAGTTCAGACGGTCATTTATGTCTCATGTTTTCTGGTAGTTTGTGTTCCATGTGTAGCTTCCTTTGCCTCCTTCTTGGTTGCCAGTATTCAGTTAGCCTGGCCTTTTTTATTATTTATACTTAGCTTTCCCTTCCCCACTTTATACCCCTGTTAGATTGGTTTCTGTTTTGTTCCTTATATGTATTAAAAGTTCACCTGGTTATTTCACTAACTGTATATAAGGTAGCACCATTAGCGTCTGCATCGTCAACAAACCATGACAGAAAACCTCCAGGGAAGGAGAACAAACAAACTCCACACAGAATGATCCCAGGCTGGGACTTTCAAGCTGTGGGGCGACAGAGCTAACCACTTCACCTCCATGCTGCCCAGGCAAAAAAACATGACTAGTGGCCTTATAAAAGTGCTTGATAGGTTGATGACACATTAGGAGATCCCAAGGATGGAACCTGAGAATCAATCCTACTGACCACATGTATGTGGGAGAAATATTACATCAAAAACCTTGAAACGTTTTCAGCAGCCATTAACACTGTCAGATATCAAAAGTAAAGCGTAGATTGTGCTTATGTGAAGTCATTTTGATGTTACTCGTCCACAGCAGGCAAAATGAGCAGAAGCAGGACATGACGTCATACATCGCCAACACCCAGCCTTCAGTCAACTGACATCAACTTACTATCAGTTCTTAAGTTCTACAGTTTTAACGTGATCAGATCAAGCTGTGAACTGCTTGACAACCTCTTCATTGAAAGGTGCAGCTTGTCAATGCAAACTGAATTGGAATCTTTATTTAAAGCAGAATCATAAGAAGTCCACTGTGCTGCCTTTCAGAGTGAGAATGGAGTGAAACAGAATCTGTCAAGTACCTGCTTGACCTTGGTGGGCTCTGCTCCTCGCGCTTGTCTCTTGCTGGCCAGCTGGTTCTTCAGGTCTCTGATCTCGGCCTCCAGCAGCTGGATGACCTCCTCGTAGTCCTGCTCAGCACTGCCGGCCTGCCGCTGCACCGCCTCGGCCTCGGCTGCCTCCAGACGACTCTTCAAACGGGTGTTCTCTTCCACAGTCAAACAGGCTTTCTGGACGGGAAAACACAATGTTCCACCTCAATACATTCATATGTACTACACTGGGAATAAAAGTGAGTGGTTTCAGCTTCTAAACTGATGTAAGCTTGGACATCCTGTGTGTCTCCACATACTGTGTCCTCTCACCTCTGAGGTCTTCTGCAGCTCCTCCTCCAGAGTCTTCTTGCTGTGCTCCATGTCCTTCAGCATCACCTGTCCAGAGAGGCAGCAAATGAAGAAACAGTTGAGTGATGAGGAGGTAGGCGTGAGAAGCTCTGGAGCTTGGAGAACACCACCTCCTTCTTAAGTCTTCCAGGTGGCCTCGACCACAAGCGTCACTTGTTCTCCAACAGTTTGAGCCTGTTGGCTGAGTGCCATGAGACCCTTCATTCCCACAATCAGAAGAGATTCTTCTAACAAGCTGTTAAATTCAAAGGCTACTGGAACAATGTTTACTGAATATTGGTAGAGCAAAATTGCTGAACAAAATAGTTTGTCTTAGAAAGAATATTACGAGTTATACCTACATGGGCAATGAAAATGAGGCATCGTTGTTGTTGAGATGTTTGCAACAAACTGGGAGCTTCCTGCTTTAAAAGATGAGGCAGACAGACAGCAGAGTGTGTTCTGTCTGAAAGGGCCTCTGACAAACCAGCTGTCTAGCAATGGAAGTGACTTAATCCAATGGGGAAGGTGGACATTAGATTAGAGAGAGAATGATTCCACAACAAGCCACAACTACAGTGGCTTGAGTGCGGCTCTGAGATGTTAGCAGCAGATCCTTTGTGGGGTTTTCAGGGTGGGGGTCTCCATTAATCAGGCTCAAGATGACAAGATGGTCGTCAAAGACTTAACTGGTCAGTGGCTGGTCGGCATACAGTCTATGTGCTAAAGCTGTTTGATATAATTATGGCTGTTTGCTGGCAACAGCTTTATTCATCTACCATCCCTATTTGTGTGTGTTCACCTTGAGCTGCTTCATCTGGGTCTGCAGCTGCTTCACTTCTGTCTGAAACTGCTCCATCTCTTCGCTGCTGTAGCTGCCTTCTGATTCATATGTCTGCAAACACACAAGACGGTTCTGTCAAAGAGTTCGAATTCTTTCATTCCTTTGTGTGGTTTTAAGGCAGTCTAATGTGCAGATGCTTGCTATGTGATGTTGCTAACACATGAAAAGCTGTAAGAGCTGCTTACAGGTGAATGGAAGGCTGACGTGTCCATCAAACTGGCAGCTTCATGATAGGAGAACGTGAAGGGACCCGCTCCCAAACCCAGCTCCTCTAGGTTCTCCTGGAAGATGTTCCGGGTTACCTCCACAAAGTCTGCGAGTCGACAGATTAGCACAGAAATAACATTTTTGTTACGGACAAAACAGGGTATTAACTGTGTGCAAGTATACTGAGGAGAACTGGTACTACTTTAATGTTTCCACAGCTTAAGATATCTGCTCAGTGCATCATCTGCATTCCTACATAGAGATCTAGAAGAAATAAAAAGAATCCTACCAAGATTTATTCTGTATTTGGTCTTTTATTTTAAAATTAGGCATCTTTAAGTTCAACAAACATTAACAGGTACGGACAGGTAAATGCAGCGCGGGGCTATAAAACTGCTGCCCTTTGACTGACTGCCTCGATTCAAACAGACAAAGAGCTGCCTCATGCTTACGCAACGTGACATCGCACACAAGTGACACAACCGGTAAGCAACATGCAGCCATGATGCGGACTCTGTGATCTGACAGAACTTCAGCACAGATCTCGCTGTCAGCACAACTGGACGTATGTGTCTATGTATGCTTCACCTCCATAGGCCACGGTGCCTTGTGGGTCTGTGGTCAGACTTTGTTTCAACTTCTTCCTCTTCTCTTCTGTGACATCCAACCCGAGGAAGGACAAAGCCTGAAAGAGACAGAGGGACGGACAGAGAGGCACATGTGGTGCCGTTGTACCATCACTTGAGAAGACCAAAAAAGTAGCATCATCAAGTGCATCACTTTGCAGACTGCACGGCCTTGTAAAAGAAAAAAACCTAGAAATGAACAGCCTTTAAATCGTACTGGTCGATTTCAGTCTTTATGCAGAAAGGCTGAGTGTACTACACTGTGAGTACTAAACTTAAACAGGGTTTACTGTAAATTGCTTAAAATTAGCAAATAAATTATTAGCAGTTGGGAAAATATTTGTTTCGCATTTAATTTTTTTATGTTTCTCTCCATCCTTCTGTCATTGTCTTTTTATATCTTGTGCCATTTCTTAACATATGAGTATCTCTCGAAGCAAAAAATATCCAAAATCCATCACTCCCTCCCTCTTTTGCATTCGCAAAGGAATCAACAGACGAAGAGAGAAAAGCGTCTTTACTTAACATTTAAACTCTCTGCGTCTCTCTTTAATCCCATTAATGAATTGGTAGATTAGGATCAAACCAGAGCCGAGCAGGTTGTGGACAAAACTAAAACCAAAGCTGAATGACATTAACGAAACTGTACAGAGGGCAGAAACAGACAGCCAGAGAACGAGGCAGAGGAGGCATCAGCAGAGAGAGAGGGTAAGACAGAGGGTGAAAGGCAGATAGCAAATGTGCTGATGGAGGAAAAATAATGTGCAAAGGAAGAACGCAACTGCGATAGAGCGAACACTCAGAGTTCACCAGAGAGAGATCAATAATTGGATGGAGAGAGATCTGGTCCAACAACTGAAAACCAGTTGTTCTCAATGTCATGATTCCTCAGAGTGAATATGTTTTTAGAAAAGCTGCTGGAGAAGAATATACAGAAGCTTCACAACAGTATGAGAGGCTGACTGAATAGCTGATGATTCTGCAGTTATGTCGATCAGATCCTGTTGCATCCACCAAGTCTCAACCGAACACCGATGCTAGACTGAGCTCCACCGCCATCAATGCACCACATGTGGGATAATGTTTTGGATGAATCTATCCAGTAGAACCCCTCATTAAAACTGAATATTGTTCTGTAGGAATATTGTCAGTGTTGACTAGATTCTGGAGCATGTATTTCATTTATCTAAGATGACTGTGTGTTATAACTGAGTAAGACATCTGAGTTGAGTTTGGCAAAGACAGAACTGCCATTTCTCTGGCAATCGTTACTACGATTGACACACGATCATAACAACCTTCAAAAAGCTCCATCATCATCGTAACACAGCACTGCATGATGATGGTGATTGAATAAGACACTCTGTTGTTAACAAGAAATGTGTGATATTTACTGCGGGTAAATGCAGTAGGATCGCTTCCATAGAGTTTCATTAGAGTTCATAAACTTTTGTCATTTAGGAACTTCAGTGCAGAAAGCCTCAAAGAACCTTAATCAACCAAATAATCTCTTTAAGGCAGCGATTTAAATCCATGAGGAAAAAATGGAAAAGTTGTGAGATGGAGCTGCTGCAAATCAGACTTGTTTCCAGCAGCTCCCCTGGCACTAGTTTATGGTTTGTCTCTCCCTTAGCCCGTTGTTGGTAGGTATACATCACTGCTGACCAGGAGCAACCCCCCAGTGCCCATCTGGTCAGCTGGTGATACACCTTGGCCCTTTTTAGAATTGCTCAAGTCTTTACTTCTGCCCATTTCTCCCACATCCAGCATGTTGACGACAAGAACCGACTGTTCACTGACCATCTAATATGGTAAATGGTAAATGGTCTGCACTTATATAGCACTTTTGTCATTCATTTGTCATTGTCATTCACCCATTCATACACCAATGGTGACAGAGCTGCCATGCAAGGTGCTGCCTGCCATTGGGAGCAACTTCGGGTTCAGTGTCTTGACCAAGGACACTTTGACTGTGGAGGCAGATCGAACCACCAACCTTGCGATTGGAAGACAACCCGCTCTACCACCTGAGCCACAGCTGCCCCCTAATACATGCAGCTAATATACAACTCGGCATGTGTCATTTTTACAAGATGATCAGTGTTGTTCGTCTTATAACTGAGTGATCAGAATGTTTCGTCTCATCAGTGTAGCAACTTGCCTAAACAACGAACTCACCAAGTCTAACTTGTCTGATTTGAGGCGTATGTATGGGTCCAGTGTTATCTTGGGTTTTGCCCCTGTTGGCGACCTCTGGCTGGTTGAACCTAATAAAAGACAAAAGAGAGAGAGCACAGAATTTTCAAAAAAAGAAAACATTACAGTATCAGTATGAATATCCAACCAGGAGCCATTGACCAATAAACAGAGTAGGGAGTATGTGAGGCCACAGGGACACCTAGTAAACAACAAGAGACGGAAACATAGTTGGATAATCTGTAACATCAGAGCAGATGACTGATACTCACTGTAGCTTTGGGTGGTGATAGAGATGGTGTGTTTGTGTGTGGGGGTGGGGGGTGTGGGTGGTGGTGGTGGCGTGGAATGAAAAGCAGATGATTAAAAAGAGAGGAGTGGAAGAAAGGTAGACGATTATATAGATGAGAGGGAGGGAAACGGTGTGAGAGAGGAGGGCAGACAGCCAGCGTCTAATATTAATTTGATGAGCTGCTCTGTCCCAGATTTGCGTGGCTGCTTGCTTTGGCGACGGTGACCTCTGGGAGTCTGCACACCCTTTTGCTAAGTGTATGAGCTGATTGTAGTGACTATCCTCAACCCCTGGAGCAAGAGTCACATCAACATTGTGATATATTTATTTGTAGTGAAAGCTAAATTACCCTTTGCGCTGATGTAAAAATAATAGTTTTGCATATCGTCCATCTATTGTATACGGTCCGTGGTGTCCACAGACATCTGCTACAGCTTGTATTTCCATTGTGGTATTGTTATTTATTTTCCCCATCTCTAGAAAAAAAAAGTGTAAGAGCTTAAAAATCCATTTCAGTGCTAGTTAGATGATCCGACTTCATGAATTTCTCTCTATTTTTAAAATAAAAAACAGATTTACAAAGGGTGAAATGACAAAAATAGCAGCTTTCATGAACTTAGAATGTTATTGACCCTTGAGGATTAATGCGCACTAGAGAGCACTTCATCAACAACAGCTACCAAAGCCTAAGGTCCACTGGAAAGCCGAAGAAGAAATAATATAAATCTTGGAATCTCCAAAACAGCTACTAAAGAAACTACGAAGTGTAAATGTTTTGTCAGGTGCTGATTCAAAGGTTGAGAATGAACTTTGAAACTGGCCTGACTGTTTTGTTAGACAGTCTATCAGTATTTGCGTTACAGGATTTTGCACGTCACGAGTCCATTTATCTCTCTAACAGGATTGATGACCTCTAATGACCTGCTCGTCTACTTGCGCTTTAGGCCGGAGCAGACACAGCAGGGAAAAAAAAAAAAGGTCATGCTTTCAGCTAAGTCAAGGAGATAAGTGTGTATCTGCAGCAGGAGACTTAAGACTGATTTCTGAAAATGTCTTCTATTTAAAGTGATGGTGACTCAGTCAGACTGCACCTCTGCATTGCCGTGACCTATATAATAATTCTGGAAACATACAGAAATAAAAAAATAAAAATAAAAAAAATCCAGTCAGGATGTTCGTGCGCTCACCTCACTACAAACTGCTGACATCTGTCACAGCTAGCAACTGGCTAAACCAATAAGAGCCTGGCGGGGAGTTAAGTGGTCATAGCACCAAGCAAATAACCTTGGCTGGGGTAATCCTGGCCGATAGGGTTTGGACAGGCTGTCGGGTGGCTTTCAGCCAGGAACCATGGGCGACCCTTAACACCGGAGCTGCCGGTCTGACTGACATCTTTTAATTTTAATATTAAGCACTTTTAATTCCACTAACAAAATCATGGTTTCAATTTTTATGCTCTTCAGCAAAAATACGTTGCTTTCATTTGCGCTTGTTATACCAGTTAGTCGACCTCCTGTTATTAAGCGTCAATGCATCAGCACTGAAGCAAACCTATTACTATTCCTTGGGCTTATTCTTGTAGATTCTTCCAGAGTGATTTTCGCTGTGTGACTCGTCCCACAGGTTTAAGAAAACCCATCGATCAGGAATGATGTGCTATGTCTTTAGTTAGCAATTCGTCATGTGCTTTTTACGAAATTCGTAAAAAATCGCATTAAAAATACAAATTGAAATGCATGGGAAGGTGCCCAGACAACTGCCAAAACCAGCCATCTTTGAAACCCTGTATCTCTGGCATGCTTTACATTAGAAACTTCATTCATTCATTGTTTTATATTTTTTCAGTTTCTATGCATTTGCTGTCCGAGTTTTTTGAATTTGATGAAAATCCAGAATTTTCATGCCCTGAAAGGTTTTACTCCAAAAAAAGTGCATTTAAGCTAATTTCCTTCACATAATTTCTGGTCTACGATACAATTTATACGTAAAAATGCTGGTGTTTTTGTCTTCTTTCACCCAGTGTGACACGACTTGTGGGCATTTAGTAAATTACCTCAGAACACAGAGTGCGCCGACCAAAACTCTCATTGACTTTGATTGTATCTAAGCTCCAAAATTTCATGAAAATCAGAAACGGTCAGTCTCTCTAACCTGCCACTAAATCTGTACAACATGCAATACGTACAGGAAAATACACCAGCGTGTTCAAAACAGAATTGTGCTTCACACAGGTACAAAATTTTTTTCAATACAACTTATAGTTTTTTAAACTTTGATCGTGTGTTCGAGGGGTTAATCCTTCATCTAAATGTCTCTGTGTGAATGTCTCTGAATGAAACTCTTCTTGTCGCTCCCTCCTCCTTCACTTAAAAGGCGGGAATCACCATAGCAACTAGTGGCTCACATGTGATTGACTGACTGATACTGGACTGAGAAAGATGGACTCCAAACATGGCTGCCTCCATCAAAATGTATACTGCTGGAGTGCGTTATATCAGCAGGACACATGTAACAGGAACTCTAACGTAAATCAACACAGCTGTGACTAATGATATGAACAAGGCCTTAAGGGCACTGGTTGCACTGTAGTAAATAATAAACAGCAAAAGAAGGCTGATTGATGTTCATCTCTTGTTGCACTAAATATGGGCCTGTCGCTGGTATAAAGTAGTCCTACAGTGTTTTGTGACTGTCAGCACATATGGAATAATGAGCATTGATGATTGTTTAGCCATTTAGTGAATAACGCACTAAATTTGGCTTATTGTTTAAATTGGTTTTATATACATGAATAAGAGAGTTGGTTGAATTGAGATTGGTCTATGTAGATTGCATCCTTTCTAACAGCAGGAGAGAGCAAAGAGGAGATGAGAAGTGCAGCAGACACTAGAAGTGCGACTGGAGAGGAGAATATCAGATATGACACCGTGTCACTGTTTAAATGTGTCACAGTTCAAAATGAGCTCTTGTCACACAGTGGAAGCAGAAACTATGAGACCTGAGTTGGTCAGTTCTCAAAACTGAACAAAGCATTGTTCGCACACAATCCTGCATCCAATCATGTTACGTAATCAGCCAACACACCCAAACATTCTGGCAGAGCACAGTGCCCCACATTAAACGATAGGTTTACTCCAAATAACTTAAAAATGGTGCAGATATTGGATGAGAATGTAAAGAATATTGGGATGGGCTCCATCCCCAAGATCAAGATCCCAATAGGACCTCTGGTAATAACCCAGTAATAATATTTAGTAATAACAACACACGTGGGAATATTTTCTGAATGATGACATATTTAAAGGACATGTTATTTTAAAAGAATATTTTATAGTGCAGTGTTGCTACTTGAATCTTAATACTTATTCCCTCCTTTCCTGACTGAAGACCCATTCATGGTTTCCGTGTCCCCGTCTACTGGCCAATGTGGAGTCAGCAGATGCACACAGGTTTCTAATCCAGGCTTCAGCATGATACTGCATTAGTGCTGCATTGGTGCTACGCAGCACGTCACAGAAGCACATCTACCTGACAGGACTGATGTTGGTGAGCATTGCTGGAAGGCATGTTGCATCAGCAGTCACAGGCATTGTTCATCGTACCAATCGAACCCTTTAACCTTGTAGAACAACCAAGTGCACCTCTGTGGCCTTTGTGTTAGTTAAATTGATACAAATGCACCAACAGCAACCAATTTACAGCATGTCATCAAGTAAGACTTAACATAGAAAGGTGAAGACCCTTCAGATTTTGAACAGAGAACCCAACAATCCAAAGCTGGAAGGTTCACATCAGCGTTACCCAACCAGCTCACCCTCCTCTGGGGGAAGAACCAAACAGCACATGTAAACTGTCCATATATTCAAAAATAACACAAAATGCTGCCTACAGCTCCAATCACCATGTATAGAAAGCATCTAGAACACGTTTATAATATCTCCTCAGAAGACAATACTGCTGTTGAAGCTGTAGGGGTTGTTGACTGGAAGTTTACACAGAAGTAGAAAAGTTGTGAACATATAGTTTGGGCAGAATGTTGCAGCTCTTTAGGCTAAAACTACGGTTTCCAGTGTTATAATCATGACGATATGATGGAGTTTCAAAATGTCTGAAGTCACAAAATATAATAAATATTTTAGCTTTAACATGTCGTCAGAAGTTGCAAACCTTGTCTCAGAGTAGCCTAATAATGCAGAAAAACCACTTATATGGGTGTGCTGTGTATGTAGTTGTCATACAGCAGCTCATTTATTTATATTTCAAACTTAAAACATCTAAACTACTTTTATTCATGAAGATGAAAAGTCAGCTCACTCAGAGAGTATTTCAACTTTTACTTGAAGTAATTTTTCCTAAGTGTTAAACTTTTAGTCACTTCTGGGAGGTTTCAGATCGTAATCTTCTTCGTCCTGAATCCATGGAAAAGTGAGGGTAACCAGAACTTCCTGGTCATGTGAATGATGTGCATTTGTCCTCAAAGAACAGCTAAAGCTTAAAACATGCGTCGTTTATTTCTGCCTTTCAGTAAAATCAGGATCATGTATCTGCTGCCACATGGCAACATGGTGAAACAGAGGCTTATACGAATGTTTTTTCTTAGTTTATATGTAATTTTTTACAACTTGTGAAACCTGAAAGAGAAAATGAAGCGCCATGTCTCTGCCAGGAATAACATGAGTCTGTGTCCCTGACGCTGATCGTTCTGGTCAGCTTGTCCTCTTGCTTTTGGACAATAAGTTGCATAACCTCAATATTTTATATCTCGGTTTGACAGGGACGCGGCTACTTTTAACTGTTGTCATTACTACCCCTGGTTTCTGTCAAGGAGCATTTACCACGTGTGAGTGATGAAGCCAACGTGGAGGTGACCAAAGACGTCCCTGCAGATTGCTTGCTAGCCCTCTTTGCTCTTTATCACGTATTACTGATGAAACTGGGACACATGAAGAAGCTGGTAAATTTATTAGAAACGTCTTTTACCCTCTGTCAGTTATTGTATCTGCTGCGACTGAATCAGCTGCTGATGTTTTTTCTACACATAATAGTAGGAAACCAGTTATAGGCTGCAGTTTTAGGTATCAGATCACCGTGTTTTGAAGTGTTAGAAATGGGTCAGAGCAGTGCAGCAGGGCTGTTTCTGTGCTGGTTGCTGTGGTTTAATATTTGAACATTACTCAAACAAGAAGCAGTTGTTGTCATTTGTGTTTTCTTTCCTGGTTTTTAGACATCAATGGCGCTCTATGGCACAAACTCTTATTAGTAGGATTCACTGTTTGTTTGTATCTAAAGTAAGAAAACACAATTTATCCTTTAAAGTTACATGGACTTGCATTGATTAGCATGAAAAAAAAATCCGTCCCTGTAATGTGAAATGAGTCCCGGTCCCAGTGTGAATCAGCAGCTGACTCTGCAGCCTGCACACATGAGAACAACTGGGGGAGGAAGCCAGAGAGATAGTGAGCAGTGAAGTGCTCTACCTGAAATATGAATATCTGGAGGACAGATGTCAGGAGACGGTGAGGACACTGGAGCCGGCTCCTCGGTACAGATCTGCACAGAAAACACACATGTATATTTGATTACGGAAAGCAAAAAAACAATCGGCTGGGCAGATTTGAAGGCAAAACATGTTCCAGAGAATCATGAGACACTTTGATCTGATGGTAGCCTGCTAAGCTTATGTAACCGTTCACCTGCTAGAAAAGAATAGACCGGAGCTCACTACTGGATCAGGAGAAATAAAATAATTTGACTATCTTGAATCAGTGACATGAGGAAATACGTTTGACAGTTAGGACAGTTAATCAATTCATTTTTATTCTTTTTATTCCTGAGGTGCACTTCAGGTTGTACGGATCAGAAGAACCAGAAGAAACAACTCCTTATACTAGCCGAGAAAAACACCTTCATAGTTTCTGCCGTTTCTCAGAATACAATCAACTTTGATCTTGTATCCTGTTGCTGGTGAGCTGATGCAGCAGCTAAGACGCATCATGGCTACACAAGACTAATTAGTCTTCTTTCACTTTGAAATTCTTCTGCATTTTCACACTTGTTGCTGTGCAATCTGAGAATCTGCAACTAAAACAGAGACATGTGGTGTGGCTGACCTCAGGTGATCTGATGTGGACTTTTAAGCGTCCCGAGTTGTAGCTGTTTCCGGCGGCTCGCTGGACTCCGTTATGGAGAGACGTGCTGCTTGGAAAGAGTCCTTTACCCGGGATGAAGGCTATCTCCACTGCAGTTTCCTGGCTGGAGACGAAACAACCACACAAACAGAGATACACGTAAACAGGGATGTACGAAGAAGATATAAGAAAAGAGGTGACGCAGTTGACTAATTTTACTCTCTTTTAGTTGCTTAATGAGTAATACAGTCGTGACTCGATAATCCGACACTAAATGTAAAACCTTCTTTTATGTCGGATAGCAAAGCTGTCGGATTGTCAAGACAGAAGTCGAGATAGAAGGAGGGCTTAATGCTGGAAGGCTCATTTGTGTTAATATTTATTGTTTATAGTTATTATAATAACTAGTGTATTGTTAGAACTCTACGCATCGCTGGATTTTACACCTAATTGACCGGTGCACTTGTGCATGTTCCGACCACTTCCACCCTGGGGATTGCGCTCCGATGGGGTGGAAGTGGCTGAAATGCTGCTGATGCCAGTTTAGTTAGGGGTCACAGTTCTGTTTCCGCCATCGCTGGTGGAAGCGGTGGCAGTGGCGGGGGTGTGGCGGATACTTCTGTAAACACTGAGCACGCTCGCTGTGTGTGACATCATCGTGTCCTCTTCTGCGCATGCGGGACACTTTTGGGTCGTATGAAGTTCACACAGCAGATCACATACAAGTCACATTTAATTGGAAATGTGAACGAACTCACAAAAAAATCGGATTTCACAAAAAAAATCCAAACTGAGCATTAAGTCCTGCAGTGTGAACGTAGCCAATCTGTCGGATTGTTCAGTCAGATAATACGCTGTTATCCTTATTGGTGACATTAAATGTCATGTTGGAGTCGGAATCCAAGGCTGTCGGTATGTTAAGGCTAATTTTAATGGGTTCCGTTCGTTTTTCCTGCTATCCTGTCGGATAGGGAGGTTTTCGGATTCTTAAGGGTCGGATTATCGAGTCATGACTGTACATGTCTTATACAAGCACCGCTCACCTGAATTTGACTTTGTTCAGCATGGCTTTGGCCTCCTCATGGGTAACACCTATCAAAGACTCCTTGTTCATGGCGATGAGCTGATCTCCAGGTCTCAGACGTCCATCCTGCACAACAGGGAGACACACATAGGATGGTCTATACCAAGGCTTACTTTTGTAAATAGGATTTCTAAATGTTCTAGTGGGCTTGGCATGTTTCAGTGCCAAAAACCTCAGCACCCAGCCAAGGACAGTCACAATCATTCATTTTTTACTGCAGGAACTTAAATTTAACATGTCGCCATTGTCACATATCCAGCTTTTGTTTCCACTGCTCTGTCTTGTATGTGAGTTCCTAGAACTAAATATGGGCACCACTGAGTAGCTCATATTAAATTCCTTTTGTGCTGATTGGTCAGGCAACTGTGTCACGACATCGTGACCAGAAACAACAAACACAACAGCTACTGTCCAGACTCAACACTCAGTCAAACAGCGTAGAGAAAAGCTGAAAATACGGGCTATAGATAAATAAAGGATCAAACCAAGAAATTAAGTCGTTTAAAGTTCCTGGTGTCCTGGATTCTGTCATTTTCACATGAATGTGAAAAGTATCCCTTCAGTTTCTGTCCCACAGAAACACCAGTGACTGGGATTTGGGACAAGACAACAGGGCTGCTTTAATTGGATTCAGCCTGGAAAACCTCCACTGATTGGTTGACAAAAACCTTGTGACCAGTTATGTAAAAGAGGAGTTAGAACTGATTCCTCAGATCTCTTTAGAGAGGCTAGAACAGATTTTGGTGGGGGGAAAAATGCCAATGACGGCTCAGACACAAAGGTGTAGGAAGGACCTTTTTTTGTAATAGTAAAGAATCAAACAGTCATTTGTGTACAGCTAATTTGAAAATGCCATGTGAACCTTAATATGGCACAATAAGCAGAGCTCCAACTGAGAACAGACTTTTAAACGCTCATTACTCTTGGCAAAGCCTCAGCAGCCATCCGTCAAGAACTCCTAATCAAAAGTGGTGCAAACACGAGGGATTGCAACATCTAGTCCTTTCAACGAACCTTCACCACAAGGAACAAAAGACCACACAACAACTGAAAATCATCCTCCTTACTAATCTACGTGCAAATCTAGCGTTCTTGTTTTGCCCAGTGTTTGCCAACTAAAACTGGCCGAGTTCTGATAAATGCATGGCTGCATAATCCCCCCCTGCTGACTCATCCCATACAGAAACTCGTGGTGCATGAAATTCTAGCTTGCTTCCTATATGACACGAGGGATTAAGAACTGGGATTTGGAGGTAATGGACAACCTGCTTCCATAAGCAGAAGACTGACGGACACAGAGCGTCTGTGTTTGTTGTAATAGAATGAGGCTCTAATGTATGGTGAGTTAAAGACCCTTAATGACTGTATGGACTCTGTGCTTTGCATCACTGTTATCTGTCACTGGCACAGTTGCATTTTGGAGATTTTGAGTTCGTAGGTCAGAGAAAAACAAATGGGCCAAAACAAGTCTACATGCCTGCTGTTGTGTAGCCTCATTCCTGAAAGAAAGAAGGAAAAAAATATCCAGTACAGATGCTTGGATTATTGCAGTGTGTGGAAAGATGGCTATTAAGTTCTACAGTATTTGCTTTTAGTCATAACACGATAGCTGCATTATCTTTTCATTATAGCAACTTTGTGTGTATATTTATAATTAATTAAGAGAACTTAAAAAAACTTTTCTTGCAAAACTGATCAGAGACAGATTACAAAACACGTGATAGTGGATTCTAGGCATGTAAGGAAGTTTTAAGTGAATCCTGATGCTGAGCTGAAATGTACAAATGAGTATCATCTGCATAGAAGTTTAGTCATTCTGAAAAAATTACCCAACACATACAAAATGCCTGCTCATTAACATTATCGAAACATGGACTTTTGTTTTTACTAACTTATGTACTGTGTCATATAAAAGAAAGTTTAGGTGTAGAAGTTGTCACTCCAAGTAAGAAATGCAGTAGGGCTGCATTAAATTGGGGAAAAAAAACCACTGACATTGCAATTCTTCCTTTTTTTTCCATCCACATGTATGTCGATATTAAAATAAATAAAGAAGCTGTCATCATGTGACTTAAATAACTCCATTTGAAAAAACTTCAACCTTTGTACAATATCAGGTGTGATTTTGTAGGTAGTACATCTGCTTAGAAAATTTTTAAAATACCTTTAAAAAAATATGTTTTACTGCGAAGACTTGTTTGAGTGTCAAATGATGAAATGAAAATGAAAAAAAACAGTCTATCCAAAAACCAATTCATCAAAATGATGGATGTTCTATCAAACAGACTTCTTTGGTAGATTAGTCATGGAAAATGAGAACTGTGTGAGGTTTTCTTTTTGTATCTAAAAGAAAAATGTTTTAGCACGATGTCTTAGAGGCTCAGCTCAAAAATTACAATATTGTGGAAAAGTTTTCATTTTTTTGTAATTACTTCAAAAAGCAAAACATTCATAAATTCTATATTTATATTTATATACAGAAGCCTGGAAAATCCAACCGACTGTGACACTCCTCTCCTCCACCAGACAAAGCATTAAAGGTCTCCACTGAGCTCATGAAGTTGCACAATCCAGCACTTTTTTTTGCCGCGTTTCTGTCGAGCAGAAGTGACTGAATATTCCCTCTGACACTCTGCTGTAGCGCAGAGTTCATCTATCATGTTTACCAGCAGCTTCCTGACAAGACCTGGAGAACATTTCCTGCCGTTCTGTCTTTCTCACCTCCACCCTGACATGCTTTTGTGCAAGATTATGCAAGAATCAGTCTTGTCGCAGAGCAATATGTTGTTTTTGAGATGTAGAAACTGAATGAACCCATCGACAAACTGGTTATGCTCACGAGTGTAAATGTGTGTTACCAGTGTACGTTTGTGTGTAACGGTGGAGCTGTAAGCAGACTTCCAGCCTGATGACTGACCTTCACAGCTCGTGTTGTGTATCTGTTTTGGGCCTGTGGGACTCCGCTAATAGAGCAGTATTGTAACTTGAACACAAAAGAATATCCGGGCAGAATCGCATCCTTTAATCCTGCAGGATTGCCTAAATATTCAACAGGATTTAATGAACTGGCTGGACTGGATGTGTCAAGGTGACGATGCAGATAACAGGGGAATTTGGTTTATATTTTGGGTTTGGGGGGAAAACAAGGAAGGAGTCTAAGGCAAAATGCAACTGATGTTGTCTCTGCTAGCAATACACCCTTTGGATGAACAAGCCCCTGAATTGGAACACAGCTTACAGAAAGTTGCACAACTTTTTAGGAAATAAATCCAAACCAAATCACATGGAGCAATGTTAAAGCATATACACTCTTCCCCGTAGACTGTATCTAAAAATGGACTGATTTGTGGACAAGCCTTCAGTTCGTCTTCTTTGGTCATCTTCTTGGAGTTTATGGAACCAAGAATTGACCATATTTGGAGGAGAGGGCTGAGCTGGGTATGATTTAGGGGCGAGATAGACGAAGAAATGGAGGACAATCTGCCTGTCCACCTACACTCACCTGATTATTATCACTAATGACCAAACGTGACAATCAAGCCATCAACGCCACCAAATGTCAGGTACTAGATAGACTGGGAATCTATAGGAGCTTCCTGGAACCAGTGCCTACCTCACTCAGTGGTATTGTGCTGTCTGGACGCTCCCACATTGGCTCTACTTTTCAGAGTGGATCGCTGCATCCATCTTTTAGTGGGTTAAAAATTGTTTGAAGAACTCAAACGCCTTTTCTCAGCGCTGTACCTTAACTAATAATTCTGTTTGTAAGGAGCATGTATTGATGTGGAGCTACAGTACACGATGCAGCCAGCATGTACTACACTTCCAGTTGAACACACTGCAGCATGTACATCTAGAAACTGTAAAAACAGCAAGATGTTTAAGCTTCTGATTGTCCAGAGCGTCCGTGTGATGTGCAGGAAAATTAACCGACTCCAAGCTTAAAATGCAGATATTTCATCATCATAATCAAATTCTACATCTTTACTTTATAAATCTGTTGCAATTGATTCGTTTGGTGCTGCACAAAACAAAAAAATCAACAGAGAAGCCATGACTGACTCAACCAACAGTCACGTTGACAAAAAATGCAGTGACTATTGACAAGAACAGAAACAAATTAAAAATGTGCCTGGTAGCTACTATTTTTCCAGTATTCAAAACATCTCTAGGGACTTGTTGGACATGTTGAATCTAAGTTTATTACATATTTTGTAAAATAAATCATCAAATAAATCCAATTTATGCTTTCTGGCATTGTAGCTGTGTCATAACGTACAGAGTTTCCTCAACTTCTAGCCGTGTTTGTGCTGTTTCCATAGAGGTCAGGACTTTATGCTATCGTGAAAAATGTGACGGGAGCAAAAAAACTGCTTGGGGTTCTGAGAGTGATGGTCTCTGTGTTTTTTTTGGAGCTTTTATCTGTGCTCAAATTAGTTTGAGCTTTTACAGCTCCATGGCAAGACCGTCTTTATCGTCGACTGCTTGGTGTTGCTGTAAATCACAAGTTTGCTGCAGATCACTGAATGAGCATTTACCCAGTAGAGAGAAACTCAAATAGCTCTCCACTACTACTACTACTACTACGACTACTACTACTACTACTACTACTACTACTACTACACATGTGCTTGTTAATATTATTACCTAGTAAGGAGTGTTGGCAACCGACAGCGCCGGCCCAGTTAATTCCCCATTAACACAATTCCAAGAGTCGTAAAAGATCCCTGTGATGCTGAGATTACAGCAGCAAGATTAACCAATGCGAAGGTCAAACCACTAAGGCAGGAGTCACAACACTGAGCGAGGTCCAAACTTCTTTGGAGATGTTTACTGCATTTCAGCGTAGGAACAATAAGACGAGTGCTAACATCAAAAACGTGTCCATGACTGTTCAGGAAATCATTGAGTTTGTAGTTGTTGGTTTCAGAATCATTGTCCTCATGCATTATCTCTGAAGTCAGCACCGTCGGTCCTCAGAATGACGAGAAGTCTGTGGAGGTTCTCAGTCATCCAGGTCATGGTAATCCCAGGAGCTCCAGAGGAAATTAAATCGACTTCTCTTTAAGGTAATGAAGACTTTTCTCATCCAAGAAGCTTCCTCAGTTCTGGATGAACAGCTCAGTTCATATAGAGACTCTTGGATAAGAGGCGAAACCTTAAAGAGAAGTCCAGTTGATTTCTACTGAAGCTCCCAGGGTGATACCAGCAGCAAACCACAGTCTTAAGTTTCCCATCTAATTTCCCTAATTACATCAAATACACAGTTTAGTTTACTGGTATGACAAAATTGCGTTACAGCTTAAAAACACAAAAACTCATACAAATCCGTTTCCACAACAGGCCCGACCAGTTTGTCCTACATATTTAATGCCCAGGTGTCCTGTGGGCCAAACATACATTATGTTTGACACTGTGAGTGAGTGGAGGTGACAGGCTCGTACTTCCTGTGGGCTTTAGACAGCTAGTCAGAGAAACAGGATCAGCAACCTTTGGCCTCAACAGTATTTCACGCTAATCTGCGGCCAAAGCTTCACACGTCTGCATGCACTCTACTGCTGCCTTCTTCTTATTTCCCCTCCGTCTCTCTTTAAACCTTCCGCCATCACGTCATTTCACCCACAAGTGGTCTCTGTCTGCTGCCCTGCATCCATGTCAGTCACGTCTAGTCCAGATATTGTTGTGGTCCTCCAGTCATTTTAGATTTTAGCTACCAAAAGTACCCAAAAATACACAAAAAGTATACATTCATTCTATGAAAGCATGCCTTATGTGCAGCTTTCACTACATTAAGTGCAATTTAACACAACTTTAAGTAGCTGAGCTTTTAAGGAGCACACGGTTTTCGCCTAAGTACACAAGGGAAGATTGTTGTTAATTATACAATCATATAAAACTATAGGAATACAATCGAACATCCCAGTATAGCTCAAAGAAACGTCGCTCCCCTCACCTCCATCCTCCCCTCTCCTTTATTATCTGCGGTTCTGGTGGTTCATTGGACTCATTTCTTACCCGGTGGCAGTCTCCTCCAGACAGCACCTCCTGGATGAAGACCGCAGGGCCGTCGGGCCTGTTGGAGCCTCCTCCGATGGTGATGCCTAAACTGCTCGATCGGGCCACTGAAATGAGCTGAATCACTCCTTCACCTGGGTGACTGATGACAAACACACGAAAATAACATATCAGGTTTTTAGTGCACTGATCTGCTGCAAATATATGATAGTGTTTAAAGACAAATAAGAAGTCAAATTAGCAGTAATCAAGGGTTTATAAATCGCAAAAAGTAATATTTTCAGTGTGCAGGAATGTGCAAATGAATCGCCTGAAAATGTGCAAGTATGTAATGTAAACGACCTGACATGTGCAAGAGGATCAAAGTAATCCTCTTTATTAGCTGTGCATTAATGTAACGCATAGAGTCGGTGTCTACGGTGGGGGGAGAGGGCCAGAGTCACTGGGGGAGAAATGATGATAAAATATATAAAACCAAAAGACATTACAGGACTAAAGAATATCGACCAAACATTCTCCAGTGGCTTTCTGTTTGAAATGCTTATTGAAACACTGGTCTGCCTGCGTTTAACTGGACACACGTGGATATTTATAATTTTTTTTCTTATGTCAACGATAAAGAGGCACATGTTGACACAACTCTTACCTGAGGGAGCGCAGCATTGGTCCACTGTTGTTGTACATGTTCTGAGAGCCTGCTGGGCTCAACAGCAAAGGACTCTGGGATCGAGACGAAGAACCAGATGATGTGCTGTCCAGGTAGCGACCTCCTTTAATGCGGTAAAAAGGAACAAAGCAATGAGACGTTTAACCTCGGCTTTGTTGCCAAAATAGCAAAAGAGAGATAACTTTAGACAGGTGATGGAGGTGGTTCACAAACATGACATTTATACTATCAGGAAAGTAGTGCAGGAAATAGCCTTGATACACATTTCTTTTTCAGACAAACTAAAACAGAAGCTCTCACCAGTTCCCTGCAGCTATAGATTGCTCCAGTAGTAACACATGTGCCGTCCTGTCAAACATGTCTTAAGCCTGAGCAACTCTAAGACCCAACATGCTGACCAACCAACCAACCGCCGAGCAACCCAGATATTCCCCAGAGTCTTTTTTTAAATATTCTTTTTTAATCTACTGCCTTCGGTAAACATCTGCTTCTTTTCTAAAAGCTGTGTGGAGGTTGTACATGCTGCAGTGGAACGCCACGGGTTCTTTCAATAAAAAATGATTCGTGGCTTTGTTCATTTTTGAGCAACTGCACAGAGATCTCGCTTCGAGTCAGTAGAATGTGCTTCACTCATGACTTCACACCAACGGGGCCGAGTTGTTTAGATCTTCAAACTAGACGTGATATCGGCGTTGCATGTCTCTGGGCTGTATCGTTATGAACAAAGCAGCTTTTACTCATCATTTGCACTGTGATGCAAAGACCCAGTGGTGTTGCGTAGGGGGTCCACATGTCCAGGAGAACGATTATAGCTCAATACATGACAACTAACGGAGCTTCTCTGTTCTGTTAATGTTGCCATTTACTTTATTTAACAGAATATAGCAAGTTGAAGTTTGTTTTTTTTAAATCTGCAAACGTTTCGTACAGGATGCCATTCGGTTCTGGTCTCCTCATTCTGGAGTTGAATCCTGGTGCACACAAGACTGCTCACACACCAAAGCCCTGTTTTAACAAATCTGTACCAGCTGGCTGCCTCCTTCCCAACTGAAACAGATGTTGGCAATTGTGTAATGAACAAGTGCACTTGTCATAAGCCATTTTTAAAGGCCGACTTACTCCATCCACCCTTTAGGCTTATCAAACATAAGCCCCTTTCAGACATGTACTCCTTTCCTTTAATCTGACAACAACTGAACGTGTCAGCGTCACGTCTCAGTGAGCGCGCTGGTCACGTTTCCCGCAAAAGGTTGGAGCGAGTAACGTTTACGTACAAGTCTAGAGTGTTTGCAGCTGTATGAACAGAGGAGCGTAGAGGAGCAAGAAGAAACTCTCCACAAGGAGTTCTGTTGCTTCTGTGGTCGCGTTGTGTCCACCGTTAGAAAAAAGTGTTCTCGTGGATTAATCGTAGCAACTGGACTTGCCTGAATTCCTTGAAGATGTTTCATCTCTCATCCAAGAGGGGCGGAGCAACAAATCCCCAATGGAAACCGAAATTCTGTTCATGGCTCCTTAAGGATATCAGTATCTGGAACTCTCAACTAGTCACTCAGAACTGATGAAGCCTCTTGGATGAGAGGTGGAACGTCTTCAAGGAAGTCAAGCAAGTCCAGTTTCTACGATTAATCCACGAGAATAACCACGACCTGGATGACTGAGAATCTTCACAGACATATCAGAAAGAGTGGTAATCAAGTAGTAAACCTGTTTGCAAAAACTGAATTTGAGCTATCCACCATTTTTTGGACGGTTTGATGAGCTTGATAGTAGGTTAATCTTTTGTTCATTAGTAGCTTCTTGCACCTTGTCGTACCGTCCAATCCCAACACAAATATCCCTTGCATCCACTGCCGTGAGTATATTTGAATGACTCTATGAGAAACATTAAAAGTGACCAAAAAAGTTGTCCTGCGCAAACCAAATCCACCCTAAAACTTTCATTTTCAGGGTGGTTTTTCATGGAGGTTTTTGTTGCCGTTTGTTGGTGTGAAGGGGATTTTGAAAACGGTAACACGCAAATAGTAAAAAAAAGAGATGGCTGAACTGATCGACCAATGACAGGCTTCCATGATTCCCTTAAACTGCACAGAAACTATAAAAGCTTCTACAGAATCCTGACGTTTATTCCATTTTTTCCTCTCATTAAGCGTTTTTAGGGCGTTCTTCCTGATCTAAATCAATGGTGTAGAGACAAATCTATCAACCTACCTTGCTGGATGGGAGAGTTGCGTGTTGATCCTGTGCTTCCGTTGGAGCCATATTTCTCCAGCAGCTCAGCAAATTCCCTCCTTTTCAAAGGAAACAAAAGGAGAAATGTTGAGAACATTGTTTGGGTAAGAGTGTGACCGTCATGGACAGATTAGGGATGACTGAATGGATTTAATAGTTATCTGCAGTTTAGCAATTCTGCATGCCACCCGTTCAGGTGTTATCGTGGTTTCATGCAGATTGGAGCGGCTATGGGAGGTAACGGTAAAGTCATTTGTGTGACGCTTTCATCACATGTATATGGTTCCTTTTGTGCTAATTTTGTGGATATTTTTTGTGTGTTCTCAAGCAAGTCTAGTTGCTACGATTAATCTAGAGAATAACCACGACCTGGATGACTGAGAATCTTGGTAGCCCCAGTTTTGAAAGGTGCTACAGGAATACATTTTATTGTAAACCTCTTTACTAATTGTGCTTTGACAGACTTTTGTTGATACAATTCCAATATTTCTGCACAAGTTATAGATGCATAAGAACAATGTGCTGAGTGGAAATCTTGATGAACACAAGTCAATACAGCTCACTCAGCAGCACCGTGTGTCCTTCAGATAAAATTAGCTCGTTGACACATTTCAATGAAAACCCATCGGTCATCATAATGTACTGGCAGGAAACGATGCAACTCCCTCCTGAGTTGTGTCAATATTATCTTCCAACACAACAATATATGACGTCCCATATGGATGATTGTTTAAATTTGGCACTTCTAAGCAGATTGGCGTTTTTCCACTGGAACTCGGGGGAGGTTTGAATCTGAACGTGTGCAGGAATGAGCCCCTCACTGGTGCCTCCAATCATTCTGTTTCCATCATGAGCAGGATCCATGAGGTGATGCAATAATTCTGCAATAGCTTCAACATCTAATCAGAACAAGGCAAAACAACAACAATGCAGGAAAGCGAGATGTATTGCTGCTAGACGACAAGGCACATTTTACAAAGCAATGTTATGATTTTCATTAACTTTTTATTTAGTATTACTTTTGTCAATTTTGATTTATTTCAGTGACAGCTACAGTCTGAATAACTTTTGAGGACGACTGTACAGCTTAATCATTACAAGTCAACAGGCCGGTTCACCTGCCTTCAATCATGACCCCTCGCCCAGCCCGTCATTTAGCACCAGACCGTGATCCAGACACCGTGCCTCGACCCGTTCCCTGCTATGCCCTTCGCTCACCTCCCCGGAATCTCCTCGGATCACTCGCTGACCGCTCAGCGCTGGGTTCCCTCTCTGAGAACAAGCCATCCGGAACCTGCCAGCTTCGACCTCACCACGACTCTGCTGAACTCCCGCTCAACACACACGCCGATCACAGACTTCTAACTGCCCTCGCACAGCCCTGATCTGTCGGCGAGGTTTGCCGTGCCGTTAGTCGAGGGTTCTGTCAGTTCGTATTCTCGTCACTAACTCGGTCGGTCCTTGTTGTTGTTGGCGTAATCCCGTGTCATGTGTTACTTGCCTTTTGTTTGCTTCTATCCCTGCCTCCTTGATCCGCCAGCAAGCAGTGTCTTGTGCTCACCTATTTGATTTGAAGCTCTGTGCGTTTTGTGATTATTCTTGCTTCATGTATGATGTTTGTATTTGGTATTCCCTCTTGATAATCTAGCGTATTGCTTAATTAGCCTCCCTGTTCACCTTTCACTACTCACCTCCCTGGTTTGTCTGGTTTATCCTTCAGTCTTTCATCCATGTGCATATTTGTTCACCAAGTGATTCACTTCATGTAAATAAACACCTTTCGCTAATTCTCTGGTGAGACCCAAGATTGCTCTAAGATTCCACCCTGGGCTGCACCGTTTCCTCAACCAGGAGATGTTTGGCTTAAAAGTGCCACCAGCAGGGCAACTTCACCCCGAAATGGAAGGACACAATCATCACACTTAACGATTTTTTAAAATTATGATTAGTCTGAGGTCATTATGTTTAGTCTCTCTACTTCTATAAGCTCTGTGGGTATTAAAACTTGCAGGCTTTAAAAAAAATAATAACCGTACTACTAAGAAACTCGCGGTACTACTTGATGCTAACGTCTGTTTTTTGATGATCAAGTCAAAAACTGTTGCTCAGCCCTTCCCATCAATCACTGCACAAAAGCTGCAAACGCTTTAATCTATTCTCAGTTTAATTACTGCAGCGCTGGAGCCGCTTCCACCGTCTCCAGTTGGTACAAAGTGCTTTTGCTCGACTCATTACTGGGACAAACAGGCCCGATCACGCTCCCCCCCGTGCTTGCCGGCTCCTTCGCTAGACTCTGAATTGATTTTCTGATGTTATAACTCACTTTTAAGGCCTTTAACGACCTTCTGCCTGCTGGTTACTCCCAGGTCAGAGTTTGTGACGAAGCTTGATCTGGCTTTTGTTACTGGACCTTTTCTTTCTTTTTATGAAGCCTTTAGTAACATTGCAATGAGCAGAGCTTTAAAAATAAAACCAGCTTGTTATTATGAATATTTGTGCTGCTAGCATAGCTTTGCAGCCTTTTCCAGTCCCGTTTGCCTCGCTTGCTTTGCCCATTTCCTTCGCACCTGGAGCTAATTTTGCTCCATCACTTTGTTTCGTCCGTCAGACTTTAAGCCCCGTATATGAGTCGTGACACTGCCGTGCTTTCAAAGGACATAAAGGGTTTAATTGATGAGTTTTCAACATTAATGTTTGGATGTTATGAAACATTTTGATGTCTTTTTAAAATCCTTACATTGGTGCTTGTCAGTTGTTAAATATTTTACTTGATTTCAAACCACTTCCTGCTTGTCTCACATGCTTACAGTTTATGAACTTGGCCCTCAGGTCCTCCAAGGTGCAGATATCACATTTTGGAGAGGCAGCTTTTAGCTTTTCGTGCTCCGAGTCGCTCCAACAGTCTGCCAGAGGACTTGAGAGCAGCTGCAAGTGTTGAGATATCCAACGTGACCTTTAAATCTACCTCTTTAAATTAAGTATGATTCATAGACGTTAATATTCATTGATTTTAGGTTGTTACATTTTTTTTAAAGAATCCAGTTTTTTTTATCATTTTAATGTGTTTTGATGCTTTGTTTTCTAATTTTATCTTAATTTTATTCCTGCTCTGTTTCATCTTTCCTATTTAAAGCCAATTCATCTCGCTGTTTCTAAATTCATATTTTGTGGTAGTTGCTGGGTTTACTCATAGCAATGTGGTTTATTGTATTCTGATATCTGTAGGATGGTAAGCATGCAGCTGGTGCTCAGCCAGTTTCTGACTTGTCTTTTAGAAGTACAGGGAATGTGTTTGGGGTTGGGGATGGGGGATGGATGGGGAGGTAAAGACAGACAGACAGGCATAATCCCCCTCCTCACGGCCGCCCTCCCCTCCCCTCCAGCTCCTCTGCAGGGTGGTTAAAGCACAGAGCACAGATTACGACACGAGGCTCATCCTGTCAGGAGCGCTGCCCTCGGTTAAGCTGTCTCCCCTTCCTGAGTCTGCTGTCATTCCTCTGCATGCAACACAAAGCAGAGGTGTTGCGCTACCTCACAGCAGCTGGTGAGAATCCATCTCTGCATTACAGAGAAATAGCTAAACTCCACACACACCGATACAAGCATCTCATTCATGCAGTTCTGCATCTTCAGTCTGCTCTGTTACCAGCCATAACCAGTGATGTGTATCCTCTGACAGCTGAGGTGTAAATCCCGCCCGTGTCAGACTAAGAATCTTGTTGAGGCAATTTTATGAGGAAATGTCAGAACCGGTATGTTCAAGTGCAGCACTCTTGGTTGCTTAAATGTGCAAATCGCCTTGTGAGCGTACATTTTAGGATCCGGTTGATTTGAGACGAGTTGTGTCTCGCTGACAGCTTGACCTTGTTTTCACCCAGACTGGTCGTGGTAAGATTAGAAAGCTGGTTCATCGCTAATGCCGCCAGAATTACCAAAAGGAATGCCGCCATCGCCATGCCGGTACAGTTCAAAGTGTTGTTGTGTTCATATTTAGAGGTGAGCTGTACACCTTGTTATTTCCTGGTTATGTGAGCCGTCATTGTTTTTCTGTCTGGGAGCTGTTGGTTTGTTTTTCTGTGTTCTCTCATATTACATGAACTAAAACCTGTAAACATGAAATGATATGGAACCACGGGTCATGGTAGTTGTAGCTGGTTTGTTAGTTAGGTCTGGGTACGCCTTTTATCTTCCATCACAAAGAACTTTAAAAACAAATTATGACCCAATTTAGTCAAGACTGCAACTTGTATCACTTGACCTCAGATGTCATGAACGGAGAGGAAGAAAACCAAAAAGAACCGTCTTGTAGCGCATTATTAAAGACTAGAAAAAGTTTCTATCCACCTGTTTTTTACATTTTTATTTTTATTTTACAGTTTTAATTTACACATAATAAATTGTAGTGTGCATCTACTTGACCTTTGGCTTTTTAAATATAAAATATAAGCTCATCCACTGATATCATGTCACAGATACTCTGAGCAGAAGCACTCCACAAAAAACTGTCTCTCATCAACTTTGAACCAAAGCTAGCATCTTTTCCGATCTCAACCAAAGTGTGCTTCTGTTGTTATCGTCCTGCACAATCACCGTGTGAAAGATTATTACATGTAATGCTTTATTCATAAATAAATCGTGTGGGAATCTACGCCAGTCAGTGAATTGAGGCAACAATTTAAAACGTGTCGTGAAAGCATGTCACCATCATGCATGTACAAATGATTAGAACACTTCCCCCACTTCTCACATATAGAAAAAGTAGTTTAACTGCTCAGTTTGTGCTAAAATCCTGTGATTGGTTTGCTGAGCTTTCACATCACAAACAAACACGATGTTTAGAATGATTTATATGTAGTTTATGGAAAGCCTGTTGTTTTGCTAATCATGCAAGGAGAGAATAAATGTGGGAATATGAATTATTAAAATCCTCTACTGTAGGTTAAAAGGTCACAATCACACTTTGTTATAATAGTTGACTGCATGCAGAGTTTAATAGTTTGGAGAGATGTAAAGGCGCTATGAGAACCAGAGCATTTCCCCCCTATAGCAGCATTTAAATGACACTCTGTGCTGCAGAACGGTCTGACTATGAGACCATGTATTTATAGACGTCTGCTTACTTTGCTTCCTCATCTCTGGCTATGAGGAGACGCATGTGATTGGTAGCAGAGGCCGCTCTCAAGATGTCCACAGCTCTGTGAAACAACAGAAACAAAACACGTTTATTATGCTGTTGGTCGTGCCACAGTCACGGCTTTTCAAACAGACATGAGAGCAGGAAGGCTTTACTGGATTACCTTTCACTTGTGATGCCTACTAGGCTGTCCCCATTCACCTCCAAGATCTGGTCTCCTGGCATCAGGTTTCCTGTCAGCGGTCAAAGACAGGTCAGATAGTAGTCGTGCAGGATACAGTTATCAGCCGCAAGAAGAACTTTTATGGAAGCAAAGTGGCTTCTTCTGCGGCCTTAGAGCCCAACACATTAGCTCTAAGCATGTAGATCGGGACAAATAGATCACAGCTAGACATGTCAGGATTCCCCCCCCCCCAGGAAACACCACCACTGGGAGATTTTAATTATCGTAGCATCACCAGATGGGCGAAATACCCTTTCAGGCAGCCGAGCCTCAGGAGACACATCAGCTACACAGCTTGTAGTTCGGCTGTGCGTCTGTTACATCCCTGTATTGGATATCTATATTCTAGACCAAGGATGTTTTAATGTAGTTTGCATGAGCCAGTGTAAATCCATATGTGATTTGAGATGACCCCCCGCTGACCTGCGACTTTATTGCAGGTCTCTGGGAGCTACGTTGTCGGTGGCAGCAGCCCCTGATGGGTTTCCTAAAGCAAGTTAGTCCCAGAGGAGGGGTCGGACAAAGACATGAAACACCTATGAGTTGATATAACCCTCCTGGGGGGCATCATTGCTCATGTGGGAAATGATAGAAATCATTGATGGGAGGAACGACCTGCCCGACCTGAAGCTAACCGGTGGTCTGAGTCATGGATTGGCCATAATCATGTCCGACCATAATGTGGCTCAATACTGAGACTCAAATCTTTTATTTTCTCAATACTTTACATGTTCAGATTTGTTTTTTACAACATGGAAGATTCAGTGTTGCACAAATTTTCAATAGCAAATAAAAAAGAAAAAGCAGTTGTCTCTTCTCCGACTCTCCTGATGGCAGTCGTAGAGATTTTGTGATAGTTTGTTTTGTATTTAGTGCGTTTGTGGTTCAGAAAAACTGTAATTTAGCTCTATTTTGTAGCTCTACAGTTCAGTCACTCACAGCTTTGCCACTGTGCTTTCTTGTTCACCAGCCTCTTACCATGAAAACTGACAATTTATTGGGAATCTGGACGTTATAGATGTACAACAATCAGACACAGACGATGATAACATTGATCATCCTGTTAGAAACGTTGCTCCAGACCAAGTAAAGCTCACTTACACAAATATTAACGCCCAAATTAAGTGGACTTGATGAACATAATCAGCTCCTAGTGGCTTCCGTTTGATGCACACAGTCTGCTCTTCAACAGAAATGTACAGTCAGTGGGAATAAACAGAAAATATAAAATCTCAGTGACAAGTGATGATGTGTGCTTCGTTGAAAAGAAAAAAAAAAATCTCAGTTGTCAGTGATCAGAAGAGCTCCCCAGCTGTTGTGACTGCAGCAGAAAAGCCTTTCTGGGGAGTCAGGAGCAGGTTAACGTGAGTAAGACCGAGTAAAGCTCTTTGATACGGATACAAGCAGCAGCTAAATTAGAAAAGTCGGTGGTCTTCTATTCGAGTTCCTCCTCAGCTTTGCTGTAAATGCATCAACGGCGTCTCCCAAACAAAAGCTGTGATTGTTAATAACAGTGCAAACGGTTCTCTGTCACTCGTACAAATCTGTGCCCTATTTCCATCATTTATGGCACAGAGAAAGTAGGCCAAGACAATGTTGTGGTTTGTTTTATTCATGTTTTCGTACTCGCATGAGAGAAGCTCCAAAAATACTTGTACTGTCACTTCAGCACTCTTCAGTCTGTCACGTTTGACCACTGTGGTGATATCCGCTTCTGGTCTGTTCTGCAGTCCGTGCTACTCTTTCAGATAATTCACAAGATGTTCTATGTAAAAGGCATAAAGGGGGAATATTTGCAGAAGATTTTCAAATTGCTTTATGCAGCAAAAAGATTTAGAGCTACAACAAGAACTGCAACTTCCTTTTTACTTTCATTTTGCAGCAGCGTCTTCTTTCCCAGCAGCTACAGGCCAGTCGATACGACTGAAATAGTCACTGATACATCCTAAGCAGGCTCCTGTGTTAGCCTCTTTTATCTGTTTACAGAAATAATCTCATCAGAGAAGACTTCGGGCTGCTCCAGTTAATTTCTTTCAGTTAGATGTATTTTAAAGGAACTCTTTGTGCAATAGGTGCAAAAGAGTGGAGACTTCAGCACACTGGAGCTGCATTTAACCGCAACGTACCGGTGATAGACCTCCATCAGGCAAATGGTTTGTAACAAAGAGAAGCCGTCTTAAATAGGAGGCGGCTTGTTGATGCTAAAGGATCCCAAAGCATCCCCCCACTGTGGGACAATTTCCTCACTAGAAAATTAGAATACTCTCCATAGTAACAGCCGTCAGTGTTTAATCAAATGATTTTCATTGATTAAATGAATTAAACTATAACATGAACCAGGCTGACTCAACAAAAAAAATTCTCAAAAATCTTGTAGGTGATGTATGCAGATGAACCTTCAGGGATTATTTACAAGTAAAAAAGAGCATCAGTTAAGAAATATAGTGAAAAATAATCGCAAAATGTACACGAAGGCATGTGTACAGGAAGTAGAAAGTCATTTATTGATCAATGCAAACAATTTGGCACAAACACTGATGATTGTTAGTAGAGCTTTAATCTTTCTGTATGTTATTAGAGATGGTCCCACACCAGATGGATGTTTGGGATTCATGCCTTCCTGTTGGGAATGTAGTTGGTTTTTTATGCTTAATTTCTTTACAGACATACGTAACGCGCGTCAGAACTGGTTTTAAAACAGATTTGTGCAGATATACTGTAGCTGTGTTCATTAATCATTGGTCTTGGGAGGTGCAAGAATTTTTTAAAAAACTGCTGTAACATAAACTTCGGTGAGGTAAGACGAACCTTAGTCACCGTTTCTACAGCGACCCTCAAAGAGCGAAACACTGCAGCGAGTAGGTGAAAACAGACAACTAAGAAAACAGCTTCACAACACGACACCGCATTCAGAAAGAAAAGGGAGTCAAAGTCAGAATAGCAAAGCCAATACAGAAATGAAATGATGGAAGGACAAAGAACGACGAGGACTGATTCAATAATTAACTCATCTGACATGAAAGCTGTGTGAGTCTTTAGGGACGATGAGGACGCTGTGATGAAATGACTCTTCGTTCATCATTCCTTTTCTGGATTGTCGATGTTGTTTGCGTTTTTTGTGTTTTTTTTATTGTGAATACTCTGAGCAAAGAAGCTTTCTTCTTTGGATAAAAAATAAATAAAGTAAACCGGAGAAATCATGGCAAGAAAAAAAAACCTCTCACAAGTACAGGACTTACCATCGCTTGAAGCAAGGCCACCTGGTAAAATCCGCTTGACGTAGACTCCAAACTCCTCTCCAGTTAGCTCCTTTACTCCACCGATCACTTTAATTCCTGTTGGCAAGAGCAGACAAAACACTTTCTGAACAGGTGTTTCCAAGTTGTTTTCTCTAAACAGTCCCACAGACTGATGACAATTAAAGCACAATTTTCATCTTGCTTGAATCCTGCTTCAGAGAACATTTCATTGTCAAAACCTTCTTTCTACTTCTGAGCACACAACAGGAAGTAGAGGATGTTTAACTTATGGTCAAGGTGCCATTTCACAAATTCAGCACTTTAGAGCTTTCTGACATCATTCAATCTGTCATCAAAACAGAATAAAGTCCTCAAAAAAGCTTCCTTTATCTACTGTAACATACCATGAAGTAAGAGCTCACTGATATTTATTTCACTTTGACTCACCTGTAAGTCTGTATCACTGTTTCACACTGTTTTCAAAGTAAAAACTTGGTAAAGTCCAAACTGAACAAATGCTAATAGCGCACATAAATGAATAATAATTACTGGGTACAGATGGTATTTTGAATACTGTGATCTCAGGGGAGTGAGGGGAAGGTCATTGGTCAGCAGTTGTCATTTTATTGGCATTGTGCTGACATGAGAGTAATGGCAGGGGCAGCAATTACTGGCCCTCGGGGACGGAGGACGTCTCACCAACTGGATTTATATGAATGTGATTGAAAATGTACCTACGTGTTTTACGACATCAGGCAAAACTGAAGTTTCTGTATTTGCCCCTAAACACCCCAGAAACACATGATCTAACCAGACAGTCACTCTGGATGACGTTTCCTTTGCCTCCAGTTCTACCGTGACGAACTTTGGAGGTGTTTTTAAACAGAATGTGTCCTTTGACTCGCACAGAAAGTCAGTCTCGAGGACGACTTTCTTTAACTTTTGCAACAGTGTCAGGAAGCTTCGTCTCAGAGTGATGCTGAAGAACTAATTCAAGCATTTGTTGCATCTAGACTGGACTATTGTAATTCCTTATTGTCAGGATGTACCAATGACTTTCTGAAAAACCTCCAGCGGATCAAAAATGCTGCAGCCAGAGTTCTGACAGGAACCAGCAAGACAGATCATGTTTGTCTCATGTTCTCTTAATTAGCTCCCAGTAAAATACAAAACACAATTTAAAATGTTTTCTTCTCACATACAACCAAACACCATTGCATCTTAAAAACCTTCTCGTACCATATTATACATCTCATGGTAGGTATTTAAAAGCAGTGACTTCCTCAGACAGGAACCATTTCACTTGGTATAAATAAATATTTGAACATCTTTGACTGTCTATCTTAATCACTTGATCTCAGCGCTTTTGGCCATTCAGCGTTCCAGTATGTGGATCCTTCTTACTGTGTTGCTTCCAGAAGTCAACAGACTTCGCCAAGTCTTGCTACACATGCAGTCAAACTTTTCAAACTGAATTACTATGAATAATATATTATTTATTGCTGGATCCATGCTGTGTCTTCCTCCATGCGGCAAGAAAGTAGTGCCATGTTTGCAGAAAGATGCTGAGGCTCAGTGGGTGTTGTGTATGTAATGCAGCATCAACCTGAGCCGATATCAACCGTATTGTCTCATCTGACATCTCATTTGAGAAAATATTAACAAGTCGATATACGGCCGAGGCCTTCTGCCTGTTCGGCCTCATTCCTCCAAACACTCAGTCTGTTCCTACTGGGTTTGCACTTACGGTGTCCGAACTTGCTTTTTTCCCCTCTGGCTCAATATTTATTGAAATAAGATTCTAATAGTATGACAAACCTTCAAGTAAAGGGGCTTTAGGGGCTTTTATAGTAATTCAGTAGGACGCACAGTGAAGTTACAGTGATGGATGGATGGATGGATGGATGGATGGATGGATGGATGGATGGATGGATGGATGGACAGACGGATGGATGGATGGATGGATGGACAGATGGATGGATGGATGGATGGATGGATGGATGGACGGACGGACGGACGGACGGTTGGATGGATGGATGGATGGATGGATGGATGGATGTATGTATGTATGTATGTATATTTGGATGGACGGACGGACGGACGGACGGTTGATTGGATGGTTGGATGGATGGATGGATGGATGGACGGACGGATGGATGGATGGATGGATGGATGGATGGATGGATGGATGATATACAATATGCAATTTATAAAACATTACAACCTTATTATTGGTTTTACAGTTTACAGTCAACTTCTCTGCTTTTATAGGACACATTGGTTCCACAGGCCTACCTTTACTGAGATTAGGATGTTCTGTTTTTGTTGAAACTGCTTCAGAGATGTGGACAAGTATAAATGGAACAGATCAAATCAATGGACAAAATGATTTTATGTCCAGTGTGGCAAAGAACTCCCCCGGTCTGATCAGTCAGTGAACACATTTCTGTTGTCACACATGAAATCACACAGCTTCAACATCTCCTGACATGTTTTCTTCAGATTCTTTTGCATTTCCTTTCTCCACACTTAGAGTAAATGTAACCCTGAGATCGGGACTAGTTTAGCTTCGGGCGGCTCTTCTGCTGCCACAGAGACAGAACGGCTGCACTAATTGGGTCTGGAGCAAAGGGTTGTAAGTTAATTATCGCCCGTTGGCGGAACGGGGTTATAAAATTCCTTGTCTCGGTTCTCTCTCCCTTCACGCTCTTCTCTGAGGAAAACTGTTTCTTGTTCTTTTGTTCCTCCTCAAAGCAGTCTCCTCCCCCCGCCTATCATCAGATAAGAAAAACACCATCCTAACGCATGTGCAGCAAATATGAAAGACATGAGCCCATCTTCTTCCCCCTGCTTTACATTTTGTTAACCAAGTCATTAGCTCCTCATAATACATCAAGGGCATGTTTGTTACTCGGTGTTCCAAAACTTCAAGACCGTGTAAAGAAAAATTTAACGCGATAAGAAAGGGCTTCTTAAATTGGCTGATAACAACCCAGTTATGACAAGAACACGGAAAATATCATGTTTATTCAACTGCGCAGAGAGCTGTTTGTGGACATCTGGAGAGTGCAAAACTGTTCCTTTGAAGAGCATTCTGCATATTCCATCAACATGTTGGCAAAATCAACTGTGACTGGGATGATTTTCACTGTGAACACTTTCTCCCGCCCACCGGCGAGGATGGTACAGCTTTCAGCAGCATTAACAAAGAGATTAGCATGTGCTGTCCTTCGTGCAGGATAGCAAAAGGGTTTGCTACAGCGAGCACAGCAGTCCCTCCCCCTGCTGCTTTGGAAGCTTCACATATACAGTAAGGGGATCTTTAGGCTCTGCTCTATGTATCAGAGCAGAGTGAACACTTGCACATGCTCCAGTTGGATGACAATAAGCTGATTTGCTTCTCAACTTTGTGCTGACACCACTACTGAGGATCCAGTTGTCTTTCACATTTTTTAAATGCCTTTTTTTCTTCCCCTACCTGTAACTCAAAAAACATTTAATCCATTTATAGCGTTCAAACTTTCATTTGCATAGATTGTTTTAAAAATGGTGCACGTGATGCTTCCAGCGACCTGTAGTTTTAACGCTAACGAGGTAATTCATACAGTGTACTCTATTATGCATGATGTTTTGTTTCGATTGCTTTTCTTACAAACATAGTTGTAACACCAACCAGCCATAACTGACTTTAAAACAGACTGATTTTCATTCCCCTTCTGTAGCGATGGAAGTTAAAACATTCACAATCCTCGGGCTGGAGACAGAGTCCGCAGAGCGAAGGACACCGAGATACCGAGAACCTCAAACCAAATAAATAAAACATCCTCCAGGTCTGTCAGGATGGTGTGAAGTTTCTGCCCTCAGGAGGAGGACACGAGGAGGCAGACTTTCAGAGGAATCCACAGTGAACACTTCCAGACGAGGAAAAAAAAAAAAGTGTATTTGAGAGATATTTTGGCCTCGTGACCAGCTCACATCCCCCCCACCACTATCACAACTACAGAGGAGCAA